TACACTTATTGACATTATTAAATTAGATTTCTTAGCTTTGCTGCCGCTGCACACACCGTTTGTAAGACTGATTGCCTTTTCACTTTTTTTTTCTCTACTTGCACAGTGTATCGCTTTAGATGCGTTTGTCTATTCAATTGATCCGACATGGAAATGCGAACAACAATTTTTTGTTTCATCTTCTATTTCGGTCGGGGAAAAAAGAGAATAACGGGAGAGAAATCGATAGCTCGTCGTTATTTACATATCTGCTTAAAACACTTGACCCTTTACGAAAAAAAAAAGTCTTGACACTAATTGTTCTAGCCACAGTTTTTTTTTTGTTTAAATGTATGGTGAGATGATTTTTATCAGCAAAGATCAATATTTGTAAATGTGTAAGCCAAACCCTGCAATACAACGGATGTGCCATAGTAAATCTCACTCACGAAATAAGTGAAATTGAAATCGTGCCAAATTGTAAATATTACACACACATTTCTAGTTTTTTTTTTCAGTGGAATTTCACGCAACGCCTAAAATATGCCTACAGCAAAATCACAGCGAAGAAATATATTTCAATTCCGAATATTATAATATGTATTTATTTATTTTTTTTGCAGGTTTATATTAAATTTCGATTTTTTTTTTCTTGCGTTGCTTCTTCTCTTAAATGTCAAATCAAATGATTACAATCGGAATCGAAAATAGAAACGTTCATATATGTTGTTAGACAATTTTTGTTTTCATTTCATTTAATGATGATATTTACAAATTGATGTGTCTGTTATATTCGAATTTACATGTAAACATGAAAATTTTGTCGGCACACAGAGAGCATCATCATCATTTCGGGGCTCAATGATGAGTTGTAGTTGAATAAACTTCAACACCAATTTCATTTTCAACCGAATTGGAAAATTGCTAATGAAAAAAAAAACAAAAGGACAAAGCGCGCGCTACTCACACCGACATTCCAATACCCTTCGAATGATGAGAATGAAAAATGAAGAAGACGATGACGATGACGTCTACGACAACAACGAACATGATGCTTTCGAAAATGAAGCAAACGATAGACAGTTTTTTTTTTCAAATTAAAAACTTAATATCGTTTAATTATACGTTTCAAATGGTAAAAGTCTCATTAAAATCTTCGTATATTTTTATTGAGATTTTATCGTGGTGTATTTTAATTGTTCGCATATCACCTTCTTTCTGTGTTGTTTGTAATGTTGGGCTTGGCATTTCAGTTTGCTTAAAATATGATTTTATTTGACTTTTATGATTGATTTAATTTTTATTCAAAATAATTTACATTTTTTTTGCGCCTTCAGTTTTCTACTTGATGCAAAAACTTCATTGGACTTTGTTTTCATTTAAAAACGGTTTCGGAGAGATTTTACATATAACACCAAATGCAATCAATCAGTCAGTGTTTGATTAATGCCATTCAAGTTACCGATAATTGCATTAAAAACAAACAGAAATGTGCGAAAAATGAAATTTGGGCGACCTAAAATAATCACCCAATTTCAATGGTGTCAAAATGAAATGTAAACATAAAATTGAAAACGCAGATCCAAGAAATAGTTGATCCATTACATGAGGTAATCGAATCAAAAATGCTTGCTTGTGCATTCGGGGGTAATTCATTTTCGAAATCAACGAGCGGATAAAAGATGTAATAATCGGCACTGGTGCATGATATAGTCTTATTTAATTTACCGCAGTTTTGTATCTATTTCGAAAATTACGTGCGAAAATGTGGTCGGTACAAAATCGGTTTGGTTTGAATGAGAAAACTACTGTCGGTGAAAATGACCGAAAAATGGTGTGGCAATTAGATAGGAATTGTTTGGATTTTGAATGAAAACTCTCGTCGTAACACGCACATACCACGCAAGTTTGAATCGTAGACGATTCGAATCGACCATAAAATACCTGCTTTTAAAATGAAAATCATGACTTTTGCCATCTTTTTCGTTTCTTTTTTTTTCTTTTGCGGTGAATTTGCTTTGATTTTTCAAGCCAAATCAACAAAATAGCAATAGACGTCTAGGAAGTGATCGACAAACCTCAAAATATTTCTTTTTAACTCAAACCTTATATTGAATGGTTAAGTATTTCATTCTACGAAAAAGAAAATAAAGATATAAAGAAATGTTTCTCTTGATCTCATAGATCGATGTCTGTGCACATGCGTTTAGAAAACTGGCGTCTGTCTCGATGAGTACTCTCATCGAGTAGCTTGTAAAACGATTTAATTTTCTTTCTTTTCTTTCCGCCTATTATTTGTTATTGTTTGGCAGTTGTTTTGATTCTGTCATGATGGAGATGCGATCAATAGACTGAAGATCCATTGCTTGATCGTCGTATAATCAATTTTTCGTATATGGTTTTTGCGTTAATTTTCAAAGTAAATACACTTGAGAAGCGTGGGTAAATAAAAAATGTTGAGATGTTTGCAATTAAAAGTGAAATGAAGTGGCTGGCAATAGTACCGATAAAAATGAGGCGACTTAGTGAAACCATAACATATAGTGTCCAACATTGCGCTGAGTTCCGAATTATAATTGGCGATTGTGAACTCATTTCCGTGTATTTAAATTCACCGTTTTTTGTTGCTGTTTAAATACTCTTCTTTTACAATTAAACCAAGCTTGACATCTTTCATTGTTTTGGTTTGATGCATTTGCATTTTCGATTTTCACAATGCGCGTGCACAAAAGCACGGTAGATGACACTTCAATGGATGGTCGGCGAAGCGAAGATTAACAACACATTTAGCGAACTACAATTAAATACCAAAAAAAATATATTATCCGTTGCAAAAGTCAACGGAATACATTTCACATTCCGATTTTGAAGGCACGATGTAAAAACGGTACTATCTGTCCATCAAGTGGATAATTTAACAACATTGGAATTTAAATGTTTAACTTCCATCGGCTTTGAATTCAAAGCTACCATCGAAATCGAAAACATATATCGTTGTTTAATCATCGAAGGCAAAGAATTCTTGTTGCACCGCAAATACCAATATTGTGAAAATATTTTATTATAATTTAATACACACAATCTCATTGAATGAATCAAATGACCGAGCGATTTTCACATTTTGTATCAAAGCCGGTTTTGAATGGGTTATGTGGTTTCAAGGAGAGTTTTTGCAACGCAGAGAAAAAGAAACATACCGTTCGTTGTCGATGCACTAGTTATAGTTTTTTCGGATATTTTCTACGCGACTTTTTCAACATCATTTTCATCAATGAATGCATACAAACTGAAAAATCAAAACTTCGATTTCTTTGTAGAAGAAAAATACATCAAACACGCAAACATTGAAGATCGTATTTAAAAACATTAACGAGAAAAAAATATTATTTATGTCTCGCCAATGCCACTTAATATTGCTTACTACTGCTGATGGTGATGCATAAACAACGATGTGAATAATGGAAATTAATTATACGCTGGCTACATCAAGAATCACCTATGACGGTGAACAAACATTGCAAAATATTGTTTACGGCCGCACACTAACGGTTATTTTTTTGTTTGTTTGTCGTTGTTGTTGCTTTTGTATCGGCCACTTTTATTGCCATTGCACGCGGTTTGTGATTTCTTTTCGCTTTTCTCCAATTTATGGATTATGTGCATATGAAAAGTGTATGCTACATCATTGTACACACAATGCAAGAGAGTGCACATGACTTTGAAATGTGTAAATTGCTCGATAAATGGATATCAAGTGTTTTTTTTTTGCGTTCGTTCGTTCGTTATTTGCATCATATGGAGGTATGATTACCGTTTTTATATGCACATACACACCCGTGCCGGTAGTTGTCCAATATTGCAAATCTCGATAATGCATTCTTAAACGAGTGAATTTGATGTGAATTTTTTTTAAACATTGCCAAGGCATACACATTGAAAACATATGACGCACTTACATCAATACCACTTTTTCTAATACGGCATTTTATTGAGAAAAATGAATTTAAAATATAATTTGAATTTATTGCTTCTTAAGTAGATCAAATATGGATTAAAAGTTCTATTTTTTTTCTCTAGCACTCTCTCTATCTCTTGTTCAAAGAAGAGAAAACTTTTTACACCGAAAATTGACCTTCTTGCACGAAATTTTTCTGTCTCTTCATTTTGAAAGATTTCAATACAAAACAATATTGCGAAGCAATTGAAAAACAAAAAAGATAAAATGAATAACGGAGAAGAAAATACATTTTTTGGAACAATAAATTTGGTTCACCATCATCAACTAATAATTTCTATCGTTTATGAGTCAATTAAGTTTTAAAAATGGAACCTTGAAATCATGTTATACCCTCTGCCTCATAGACAAATACAAATGAATGAAGACAAAGAATCAATATTTGAATTCCATTTGAGTGATGTCCGACCGATAATTATCTCGGATCGAAGCAAGGAAAGAAAAACAGCTTGAGCTTCAAATTAAACATGCAACTCAAGGTGCTCTAGTCGAAACAATCGTTTAATGGATTTCGATGCGGGGGTCTATTAATCCATTGCAGTGAGGCCATAATCAATTTTTCTCTAAGCCTCTGCGATTGCGAGAGAATTTTAAGAAAGTGGTCGGAACGGTAGAAGTCGAAGTTTTGAATAGACGATAAAAAATACGATGTGATCGTTAAGAAAATTTCAATTTAGTGCTTTTTCAATTTATTGGATTCGTTGTTTTTTATAAATCATCCAAAATCAAAGCAGCAGGTTGTGTTGCATCCAATACAAAAATAAGTGTTCATCAGAAAAGAAAACAAATTTTTTTAAATCGAAATGCGGTGGGCTTGGCTAGAAAGCAGAAATTATACAAAGATCACATATAACACGGGCGACAGGCGCCCAGAACACCAACGAAGATTGATGCAATTAAAAAAGCCGCAGCAGCAACGTAATTGAAAAGTAACAAAAATTAAAAAATAAAATGATGCACTTTAATTGAATCAAATAAAACGAGCAACCTGTAAATAAGCACTTACCAACATGATTTCCGTTGTTAAAAAAAATACTAGTTAAGCCGAATCAAAATCCGGAGATGATGTTGTATTTGTTCTCTTAGTTAAACAATTTTTAAAATGGTCGATGAGCTTCGGTAATTACATAGTTGCACTCGCGTATCTCATTCATATATTATAGATTCGATAATTCACTGAGATAAAAGCCACTTAAACAATGAGAGTCAGACTGAATCGATGGTAGATAGACTTGAACTAAATGACGAACCAAAATCACTGATCGATTTTGAATAATGAGTCTCTTCGTATTATCGAACAAAATATTCACCTGCAACTCGAAATGCAGAGCACTTGTTACGTCTCGATCAGATTCACTTCTCTTACAATAATGAAGCTGAATAAAAAATATAACTAATTAAATTTGAGCTTTATGGAAAATGAAATTGTCATAATAAAACAGTTTTTGCATCCTTTGACATAAATTTGAATTGTAGCAATTCGATAATAATTTCCAAAAAAAAAAATTCAATTATATTCAATCTATACTTCACATCCAAATTTTCCAGAATAAAAACAATGAAACGCGATGATTTCACAAGGAAATATTTTCCTCGCTGTTTTTTCCTCTCTTTTCTGAAAACTGTCACATGAACTATAAGCAATTCGCACCAACAAATTTTTTTTTTGGCAATAGCTTAGTTTCGGTTAACACGATCTGCTTGTAATTTGATATGCTCGTGCCGACAGTCGGCAGTGTGGGGTTTTTTTCTTATTCACAATTTGAAAATGTTTTGTCTTAAAAAAAACTGGCTGATCATTTCCGTTGGAAGAAGCGATGATTAATTGAAAAGGTTTCGCAAATTTGTCCAAACGAAAGCAAACGGATTCTTTTTTTTATTGTTTTAGAGTCACTACAACTTGGTTACGTCTAACAAATCGATAATCAACCGTGCGTAGAGGTTTTTGTTCAATCTTCACGTGTACACAAACACATACACATACTGCAAGTCAGTCCGGTGATTCAAAAATGTGCAGGAAAGTAAAAAAACAATGATAATTTCCACTCTATTATTGACACAATGTTTACGCACGTCCGATGCGAACGATGCACAAGACCATAATAAAAAGACGACTCTCGACGATATTGCTTTATACCTATTGACCCATTTCTTCTTCGTTGCTCCGGCCGCTGTCGTGCTGCTGCTGCTACATGTACACCAATCGTCTCTTCTACCTTTTTACCATTTTTACTCTCGAATTTGTCTCTTATGCTTGTTATATCTTGTTCGTTTTGGTTCATTCGTTCGTATGTGCGCGCTAGCTTAGAGCTCAATGCGCTGCTCATTTCCACTCAGTGCTTCGACTCGTGTTTGCTTGCTTGCAATAGACGAAAGATTCATCATCGTACAATGTACATTGTTAGAGAGATTGCACATTTGTAAGCAGAGAGACAACATGAAATGCACAACAATACGATTCGATGCTATGCACTTAGGCATTCAGGTATCGGGCGATTAACATTTTGGCCATTGTATTCTCTCGGCAAATACGAAAAATCAAAACGAAGAAGTGCTGTGTAAAAGATCACAATGATATGCACTTATCCATTTAAAGATCATACGATGGTAAAACGCATTTAAACAAGTCGAATTTATTGAGAAAAAAAAGTACCAAATGCATTTTTGTCGCTTATCTATCTCTTTCTGCATTCAGTTTTTCACTTTTTCTTCACATTTTCGCTTTTATCTTCCGTCTTTGAAAAAAAAAAATTGCAGTTGACGAAAATACACACTGTGTAAAAACAAAACAACAGCTTTAAAACAAAGGAAGCAATTTGTTGTTGTTTTTCACCTCTAGTTAAGGTTCATTATTTTTAAATATTCTGAAATAGGTAGACAAAAATACGGACAGAGACAGAGACAGAGAGGGATACAGAGAAAATGCTACGTGAACATGATCTTGCAACAATCGATGCTGCAGTGGCATGAACATTGGTAAAAGAGTGTGGCAACTGTCAGTTTCAATAAGGTAAAACACGCTTTGTTTTTTTTAAATTGCATTTTACTTGAAGCAATTTGACCAAACGAACCGATGCATTTTTAAAATTCGTTTGTTGACTCTTTTTTCTGTTCTCTCTCTCTTCCTCTCTTTCATTCAAACACTTTTGTTTCTTCATTACTGCGTCGTTCATTGATTCTTTTAAATTAATGCTAGCAGCACTTGGCAGTTTCGTGATTTTTTATTTCTTTTTGAACTATTTGTAACGAGACTATTTACTTTCTTACACGATGGTAATTGATGAAATTTAAAAAGGCCATTCCGATGAGCCGGAACGTGAACGAACTTACCGAAAATTGTTTACGTCAAACAAATCACGGGTCCGATTTTGGTTCGTGCTTTTTCTTTCAACGGCTAAAATTACATGCAATCGTTAGTTCATATGATGGGAATAAGATTTATATGCTCGTTATAACCAATGAGCCAATATAATTGTTATTCAATTAAAAATTATGGGATCACACCATAGTTGAAAAAGACCCGTCCATCAACTTGTATTCTTGAAATAAATGTCATAATTCTTTTTGATAGTTCAACATTGCGTTATCTAATCATGACTCAGATAATTACTCATCAAACGAAACTAGCATAAACGAAGCAGATGCGGACATTGGAGATATATGCTACAACAATACCATGCAATGCGAGAAGCATTCGGTAACTGAAATACAACGCTTGGAACAAAAACAGGCACAACAAACACCAATCTCACGCTTCCATTGTTTTATTCACTCAAGTGTTCAATGGTCATTCGCGCACCAGTGAAAGTCGATTTGTCTTGATCACCACATACAGTACATAATTCAACTCATTCTATATATCGCATCAATGACAATACTCGCACCGATTTGAATTTTATTAACCTTATGTAATGAAATCTTGAAGATGCAAATGAATTCAAATCGATAAATCCCAATAAATACCAAACAATTTCGTATCTCATTATGCATAAAGGTTGAAAACAATTACAACTAGCCAGGAAATGATAGATAATGTGACTTATCGATAGAAATTAGAAACAATAGCATCAAGTTAGCAGCTCATTGTGCTCACTGTGGTTTGTAATTGATTCCGGATTTGAAAAAAACTACAACTAAATGTGTGAATTTTTGAATAAAAGCCAGACAATAAATTCATATTAATATCTTCGATGAACAGAAAAAAATTATATTGCAGCCACAATTCGTAGTTATGAGTCATAATTTATGACTAAACCAGCAAACTTAAATAAAAGAAAATATTTATTCGAAAATGTTTACATCGATCGGTGGAATCTATTTTGCGGAAAATGTACGTGAAGAATCAATTTACGGTGAATCACCTCAATCGATTATTGACGCCGTTCAATTGATATGCATACCTGAATTGATTTGGTAAACTTAAAGCCTGAAGCTACGCTCATCATTCAACAAAGATGAACAATTGTAAACAATTTCAATCTTTTGCCTTTTTGCACTTATTGTTGCTTATCAATATTCGTATTAATTAGGCAAATTAAAAATATACTAAATATTTACAATTATATTTAAACATCTTTTCATTTTCACGGACCGATCAACATCGATTCAAATTTAACTTGAATTTAAGTGAGCATCGATTAAACAGCATCAATAAGCAAAAATCATTGAATTGGCAATAAACATATGCGTCATCAATATTCGGAAAAAAAAAAAATGATCGGTGACAGTAAAGACATGCGGATCGATGCATCGGTTCCGCTTGATATCACTTTAATATATTCGATATCAAAATGTGTTTATAGAGAAGTTTTGTATTTTAGCAAATATTCACTTTCGAGAAGTCATAGTTCCAATTTCAAACGAGATTCACCTCCATTTAGAAATCGAACAAAAAAGAAATACAGTTAACATAGAATAGAAATGAACGTCAACTCATCAATTTTTTTTTCGACCAACCAAAATTAGCAATAAATAAATTAATTTATTCTTGTCGTACATTCATATCTTTGCTCAAAATTGAGTCACACACATTCCTATGTTTCGAAAAAAAAAAAAAATAATTTGTAAGGTTTCATCGTAAAACCTGTGAAAATGCCAGTGAAGTGTTTTGAGTGAAACCATACAAATTATTTCAATGCTCTTTGTGAAAGCATTACATCAGCAAAATGTTTGCTAGGTGGTTATGGTTTCAAAATGATTGTGTGTATTTCGATTGAAAAATTTCTAAATGATCAATAGACAATGTGTAATCAAATTTAAAAATAATTATGGAGTATTATTAACTTATGTGGGTTGTATTTTTCTTATTTTAAAAATGTTTATTCTATATTTATGTGGATTCGAAAAATTAGCCCGAAAAGCGTGCTCAGATGAATAAGCGTAACTGTTTTTAGCTACATGTTGCATATAATCAGTTGACGGCCATCGACGGTAATCATTTTATTTATATGTGACCGATGAATATTTGCAATAATTAGTTGTTTTCACATGCAAAAAGTTTGAATTGACGTAAACGCATGTATGTATATATATATGTTTGCGATCGAGAAATATCATGGACGCGTGCGCGCTGAAACACACCGTTCAGAGACAATATACATATGCCGAAAGTAACCGATGTTGTATTCAAAAAATTCACACACAAAAAAATCGTGCCGTATGAGCATCACACAATTTTTCGTGAATAGTTCGGGAGTTGTCTTTTGATTTGCAAAAATTCAGTGTGAGTTGATTTGTGAGACGCGTTACATCACTCTCCGCGAGAGCGAAACAAATTCTTGAATTTCCGAAATTAACAATAATAATTAAAAAAAAAGAAGTTGTTAACGACGAATACAAAAAAAAATTTGCTTCGAAAAAGAAAGAAGTCAAGGGTGCAGTTGACGGGTGACAGTGAAACGAAATAAACGAACTCGCGCAAACCAAAGAGTTTTAAATTTTAAGTTTTATTGCTTGCTTTTTAGTTCGAATGTTGTGAATCGTGATTGATTTCATAAAAAAGTGATGATAATTGTGCTATTTTAGTATTTAGTGTGGTTCTGGATCTCGAATAAAAAAGTCGATTTCGGAATACGAATAATTAGACCAAGACAATAATTTCTTTTTTGCTGAGATTTAATTGAATTTGGTGGAAATTTTCAAAGCGAAATTCTGCAAAGATGTACGGAAGGTAAGGTTTTAAGCGACTGCGATTAAGATATGAATAATTGATGGAAAGCAATGAAAAAAAAAATTGAGCGAAAACTCTTTCAAGATTAAATGAAAACGCGATTCGCAAGCCGATTTCATCAGCTATATTTTTAAAATTATTATTAAATTGCCTTGGATTTGGTTGTTACCCGCGCCATTCATTTCGAATTACGACTTGTGAAACATTTGCTCTCTTTCTCGCGCATCAACAAGAAAAACACACAAACACGAGCCGCCCAGAGTTGGACGAAGGCTGAAGAAAATCATCGAATAGTTTGCAAAAAAAAAAACACTTTTTCCTACTTTTTTTTTCTCGTCGTTTTGTTATGTATCAAAAAGTCGTAGAGCCATTGGGCTGTAGCTGTTGCCGTCGCCGTCGTTTTGAGTCGCGCACCGTGTAGCGAAAGAGCTTCTGGCTAAAATTAGATTCGATATTTATAGAGAGGAAAATTCGTATTTCCTTCGTTTGTGATCCGTTTGGTCAGTGCGTTTTTGCGGGTGATTCATGTTCAATGATGTGTGATCCGCTACACGATTTTGCTTTTCGGTCCGTTTTGATTTTTGTGAAGGGGACTTCAACCGCCACATATGACAGAGAAAAAAAAATCTCGTTGAGAATCTAAATGAAAAATTAATTTATGGCATTTCACTTGGCTTTTTATTGCGACTTTTGTAAATGAAGTTTTTGCGCTTTGCAGTCAATCAAACAGGCACGATCATTTTTTACCTTTCAAATTTAGTATCACACTTTATAAAATGCAGCCGAAATGCATTCCCTTGAATTGATTGAAGCGACAAAATTGACTGAAATAAATACATCGTTTCAAAAGAAGAATTTTTTCATTCAATTCATTCATCACGCATTCAAATCATGTCTATTTGTGCAAAAAAAATGCAGTTAATTTGAATGCCTGTTAAAAGTATTTTGAATGGTCTTTTAAGACATCGAAATGGAATGGAAACAGCTGAACGGAAAATGCGCACAACTTTTCATCTATTTTCAGCAATAAATCGAACGAACTTCAAACAAAACGGATGTACATCGACATTTATTTCATTCTCAATTCAAAATATTTCTCATAATTTGTATTGGCGTACATTTACGGTTTATTTGATTGAACTCAGCGTAGAAAACAGTTGTTTGTTTTTCTGTTATTGCAAAGTAGACAAAAGTAGGAGTCTTGTTTAATAAATCGAACGCCTACTAGTATCTACTTAACAGCACCAGGAAATGTTTTTTTTTTATTTGTGCGTTCTATTCCTCAAGGCACTTGATGTGATTTAAGTCGATAATTTTCTTCAAGATTTCGAGTGAAAAAAATACGATTTTCCGATGATATTTTGCTCAATATTGCAAAGTGGGACATCGAAGGCACAATTCTATAATAAATGTGCCTACTATGGCCTACTTAACGATATAAGCAATTTTCTCGTATCGAACACTTCGAATGAATTTGAGTGACTGCGATTTTTAAGCCAAAATCCAGCCACTTAAATAGCCAAAAATGTTGTTTTTTCAATTCATCACAGCATTTATTATCTCATTGCTACATTTTGACAATAGAAATGTATCATTTGAGTAGACAACATGATAAGAGTACTCTCGTTCTCTTCGGTTTCCTTTGGCATGTATACCGAAATAATATTGACCTTTGCAATTGCTTCTCTTGCCCATTTTCACTTGCAAACGTGTTAAAAACAATCGATAACTTCATCTTTCTGCTTCTTTGTGTTAACTTTGTTTTTGAAAAAACCGCACAAAGTTCAAACTGAGATTGTCATTGAAAATCAACTATCGCAAAACGAAAACAAATCCAATGAGATTATCGAAAAGAAAGCAATTATGTTTTTAAGTTCGATTTCAAAAGGACCATCATTCACATCAAGAGCATACACTAAAACTTGCATGTGATGTGAAGAGACTTTGGACGAACGGCAGATAAATGTAAAATGTTTTGTGAAATCTCAATGAAAAACGGCAAACGATTAAATAGTTATCATACATTTATTATCGCAATCATGCATCGTTATTGTATGCATTTGCAAATAATGAAAAATCATTTTACACAAACTATTGACAAATCCCAGCTGTTCATCGGCCATACGACAAATTAAATGTTGATGTTTACAAATACGATTTACATTACATGCCATTTATATTCACACTGGTTTGTTGGTCTAATGTTCTCTCTCTTTTACTTTTTCGCGCCGCGGCGCAAGAAGAAATTGGCGATTCAATGAACCCAACCATAAATAAATTTAATTAACCGGTTCCGTTGGACGCTGTTGTGTTTGCTTCAATTTCTCTGTCGCAAAAGAAATAAGATAACAATTTTCACTGATTGTGGCAAACGACAACGACAATTTCCATCGTGATTTGGTTGAACAACATTCAAGCCCATAATAAAAACATAAATAACAAATGACGCGTTTCTAATTTAACGTCAAGCTAAATATGTTGTGAGCGCATAGTTGCGTACCAATTGAATTTGGTGTTGGCGATTTAATAGCGAATGAAACAGGAAAATGGTTTAATTTAACGACCAAGGAAAATGCATGGACACAGACCGTTTAGACGAAACTGTGAAAAAGCCCGACGACGAATGAAAATAATTTCAGTATTTTATCATAATTTCGAAACGATTGGGAAAGAAGAGAGCGTATAATTTACATTTAAAATTTATATTTAAAAAAAAATCGAATGAGCATGCGCAAAGAGATCGAGAGTGTTCTTCGAATGCGTGTGTCACATCATTTAAAAGATCACTCGTACATAATCATTCGCATGATGCTACTGCTGCTGCTGCAGATGATGATGATGTTCGGAGAGTGTGCATTGAACTTGAAAACGGGAAAACTTGAATTTACTGTTTCACCCGTTCTCATTTATAATGCATTTCTGGTTGGTGTAGTGCAGAAAGATGAAACCAAACGTCATGCGCGACAGCTTCATCAACATGCAATAAGGAATTGAAAACGTTTTTTTTTTTATATTTTATCTTCTGCTATGAGAGCATCGTATAAATGATGCGTTTTGCTTTCACTCATCAATGCGTGCAAACACCACTCATGCTTACAATTCGCTTGGCTTAAATGGGAATAAAATCGAACCACAAAACAAAAGTGCATCAATCATAAGTATAAAAAGAAGAAAAAAACCACTACTGCATACATAATAATAAAAAATCAGAAATATTTTCGATCTGTTGTAATCGTTGCATGAGATTCCACATTCGTTTCAATGCCTAATTAGAATCGTTTTTTTTTTTTTCATTTTGTCTTCTATACACGATAGCAAGAAAATGAAATCGGTGAAATGTAATTGACTGGTGAGAGAAATGATTAAAACATTTACTAAATTGTTGTGTGCACTTTTTGTGCATTGGTTATATTGGTGCGATGGCGCTCCCTCAAGTTTGAATACTTCATCCTCCGTCTGCGGTTGATTGACATTGATTATAATTAACGAATTGTAAACGTCGGATGCATTTCACACTCTACTTAAACCTTAAAACTGGATTTCCTATACATATATGGATTTTAAGCATGATCAAATCATGGGCCATTATTGGATTGTCGGTTGAAGCTCAAACTCCTCTCCTCACATCTATTAGTGTCACTGTAATGGAAAAAAATCGAGTCCAATCACCACATTTTTTTGTTCTTCGGATTTTGTTTAAAAAAATTATCGCCAAACAAAATTCCTTTTGTTTGAAGTTTTTTTTACTATGAATTAGAAGCACCGATAATGGTGTTTTTTTTCCTCCTCGACTACTTTCGATAATTCGTTTGAATAAAAGAAAGAAAGAAATAAATAAATAAAAGAAAGATGTAATCTGGATTAGAAATTGAATTGTATAAAATATTTGGATTTTTGTTTTGAAATTTATGCATGACTTGATACGCTCCGATTACAGAAGAAAACCACTCAAATAATTATAATCACACGTTAATGAGTTCGAAATTTATGGCACCTCTTCAGTCTGAATCGAAACGATTTTCTTTCAATAAATTTATATAAATTCTTGTACATTGATTTGTGTCTGCGGTGCATTTCGAATTCAAATTCGCTTTTGTTTTCCTTGATGTTTTCCAGTTGTGACTGCACACTTGACTCATTATTATGTTACTTTTCCCAAGTATATAACATAAAGGTGCTTAACAAAACGCATAGCATTATAAAAGAGAGTGAGATACGTTGAACGCGCTAAATACGATGTTGCGTGCGACTGGCTGTTTTAGTTTTTTTCTTTATGTTGTTTGTCTCCTCTGTGCTTTACATCAATTCCCGCTACCATTTGATTTCAGGTGTAATTGCATACGCTGTGGTTTTTTATCAATATACATAATATTGGCTTGTATTGTGGTTTTATCAAACAGTCTTCAACTGACTGGGCGCGAGTGCAATTCAATTCTCTCAACTCGCAATTCTATAAAATAGAAAAAACATCGCGAAAAAATATATATATTAAAAATTGTTGTTGTTTTGGTGAACAAACTTCAAATAAATATTTAATTATCTAGACTTTGTACTTTTTCAAAAGCGCCCAAAAGAGTGGTAGTGAAGACATAATAAGCACTTAATAAATGTCATATAATAAATCAAATGACACAATTGATGTGTTGAATTTCTGGTGAATGATCGATAAATAATCCACCTAAAAGAAGTCAAATTACGTATAAAAGAGCGAAAAAAAGCAAACATGTCATCGGTCAAGACAAAATCATCGACGGATAAACAACCGCCACCATCATCAAAACCACCGAAACCGATCAATTTAAATTTGAATATGAAATTAAACCGTTTTGTTTATACCAAATATCGTGCAATGCTTGGTTCATACAATGACAAAGCCAATGAAATCATTCAATCGTTGCCCACGAAAAAATCCATTTTACAACAAATGGATCGACGTTTCAGCATTGGCGGCATTAAGAAAACTTCGTAAGTAAATATGACCACCAGAGAAGTTGTTGGCGCGTGAGAAACAGAAAAACTCGATGGTTTTAATAAGAGAAAAAATGGATAATTGAATTGATTTGATCACTTGTGCATCGATTCCATTAGTTAATGTTATAAATTTTAATCGACACATTTGGCGACAATGCCATATTCGATATTTTTGATCTAAATTGACGTCATCGCAATTTGATTGAGAAACAGAGGGAATTCAATATGTTTTTTTAAAAATAAATATTGAAATAGAACTGGGCTATCAATCATTTGAACACTTCCTACGAGCTTTAACAATTTTCAATGAAAAAAAAATAAATTGAAAGAAAACACATCGATAGATCGAACTACAGATGATCACATTAATTAATATATACTGATATTGCGAAGGAACAAGGTCAAAATTATTGCAAAAATGTACTTGTGAATCGTTCTAGTTCAAAAACTATTAGTGAAGCAATCAAGCGTATCGCAACTGAATTATTTTCTTTATTTTAAATTCACATTTCGATATATTCGTAAATAAGCCGCCGTTGTGAGCATGCCAAGTGTTTTGGCGGCGTGTTTGATCCATACACAAAACACACGGTGTCCAAAAATATCTTTTTTTTTTACAAACGACACACGATGATATAGTTTTTTTCTCAGCAGACAGCTAAAATTCAAGTGATTCGATAGAGATGAAGTCGAACGTATTTTGCACACATAAATCGCAGCACGAGCAACTGCTTTATTATTATAAATCTCTTAGCACTAATGCGACAAGCCATTGAAATCAAAATATCGAATGACATCGGATGGAAAGAAGATTTTGCGATGAAATGGAAAATGAGCGACAAGTAGCGACAGAGTGTCTTGAATTAAGTATAAATTAAATAAGATGATGATCGTGGGTTGACCAAAAGCCAAAACAGTAACATGTGTATGGTGCGCCGTGAATTGTGAATAAAATTTGTGCATGGTTTCACATCACCATATTTTGTCGAATCACCGACAAAGATAAACATCATAAATTTCATGTGATTTGATGGACCAAACACGCATCATCCAGTTGTTTTTTTTTTTTTTTCGAAAAATTTCCACATTTTTATCATGAAATTGCAAGAATACTTTTGTCAAAAATCAACATTTCTTTTTCATGAAAAATTACTCTCATGTCTGCGGAAATCATTTATTTATTGTCAAACGGGGCACATTTCTCTATCAACTTATTTTTCTTTTGCAAAAAAATATTACAAACGCTTGTTTACTCGCGAAAATCCAAATGTCAGTTCTTATCAATTACTTGTGCAACAAAGAAGCTTTTCGACACCTGATGACGAAAATAGCACACATTTTAAATTCTATCTCTGAACAAAAATTGAGTGTGAGTTGTTTGATATTGTGGTTTCAACCGGAAACGTACAGATCAATTCGAGAAGATCTCGTTACCCAGGAGCTCAGAACCACGGATATAAATTTTAGCCAATATTCATGATTATCGTTATTATCGCAATTATGCAAACCAAAAGCAATGAAAATCTCAAATAATCGCGTAAATTTCACTCAATTCATACAAAACTATATTTATTTTAAGTTCCAAGCCACTAAGCACATAACCTTGATGTTGTTTTCGTAATATATTAGATGATTTTTATTGAAAAAAATTAACTCTAAGCCACCTAAGCTAGAGAGAAAAATATGAAAATGCGGAAATGTCAATAGGTTTTCACAACAAGCAAAGTGCTGACATAAAATTTGCGTACGAATGAAACGAGTAAAGAAAATCAGAAATTGGATTGTGTTTCTGTTAGAGATCAATGAACCAATGCATTGTATTTCAGGGATATCAAGACAATTTCTGTCCGAGTATCCTTAGTAAAATGCAAATTTCACATTTTCGTAGAAAATTTCATTCTTTTTTTTTAAATAAAAATTAAAAGACCACATGAGACTTTGCGAATCGGCTATATTTAGACGAGAATAATAAATTCAGTTGAGAAAAAAAGTCCCGCAAAAATGCTTTGGTTGAATCACGTAACGATCTCGTTTTTGGTTGCATCTGCGCACTCGTTCCATTGTGTGACACTGTCTGTCGAATTGATAGAAATTCTCGTCTTATGCGAAAAATACATTCTTTCACATAAAATGAAAGAGACTTTGTACTCGGCGCTGACTTGCCAATCAAAATATGAATTTGTTCGCAGAACTCTTTCGTTGCTAATTATTATTCGAGTAATTAGTTTTCTTAACGATTAACCGCGGCGATAATTTTTACAAAATGTGTATTCTAATTTATTAATTTGCCAAGTTGATTGATTCGCACCGAAAATGTGATCTTGTTTTCTCACACTCGACGCACACTGAAATTTACAAAATAAACAAATAAATATTTACCTCGAGTTTTTAGAGCATGCAAAACAAGAAGTTTTAAAGATTTAGCAAAAAAAATTAACGGCATATTTCACCTGTGACTCAATGAACTATAAATAGAGCTAGTATTTTTTTGTGTGCATCGTGTACTGCATACTGTGCTTTTTTACAAGTTGGCATACTATGTGACATTTTAAAATGGAATGCGCTTTAAAATGCAGTACATATACTATTTCAAATCGAATTATTTGTTTTGAAGTCAAAACAAATGACGTGTATTTTCATGGTGGAAATAAATTGAATGAGATTTTTTGTGATTAATTTTTTTTCAGTTCGACGCCACCCCCACCTCCAATGCTCAATGGATCGATACCAACAAGACGTATCACAACACAACCACAGCATGAAATGCCATCATGTGTACAAAATGCCATGATGACAAAGGATAAAAAACCGTTTACCTACACACCTGGTGGAATCGATTTGAGCCAAATCAAATCACCACGGATGGCACAACGGATAAGCCGAAATGCACAAATGGAAGGGGTCACAAATCAACCGAAACCTTCACCATTGGCACAGGTTTGTTTTTTTTTTCTTTCAATTTTTTAATTAAAAATAGATGTTGTTTGTATCGCAATAAAAAAAAAGCTTTGTAACAAAAATGAACTAATAAAAAAAAAACCTCAATTTTAAAAATAAATTAGCAAAACACAAATTCGCCTGTGCCTGCTGCTCCTTCTCTCCCGCCACCATCAACGCTTGGAATGCCCGTACAAGTTTTTCCAAGTGGGCCACCACCACCTCCGCCACTAAATAAATCGCAATTAAATGCGTCTAATGGAAATCGTTCGCCATCAATGTCACGCAAATCACCACAGCCACAATCATTTGAACCTCCTCCGCTTGGCTTGCGACCCGAAATTAAAATTCCGCCAAATCCAATGAGTAATTTGCGCAAGGTCGCAACACCAAAACCTAAAGAAATTGATTGGAGCGAAGAATTTCGCAAAGAACGGTCAAAAAGTCCAATGCCCGGTGCATTCGCATCAGACACATCGACGCCACAACAAACGGTGTCACCTGATTCGATGCATCAATTTAACAAACCAACGCCTGACAAAGTTGATTCACCAATTAACACAGTGCAACAACCGTTCATACAACGGCAAACATCACTAAAAGATAGTGATAACACGTACACAGATCAAAATAACAATTTCTCGAACAATAACAATGGCAACAATTTTAATCAAAATACACCATCATCATCATCGCCACTGCAAAGAGTTTACAGTCCATTTGCATCATCACCACAACCAAATTTACCAAAACCATTGAGCCCAATTAAACTCAATCAAACGAATCAAGATGAAAACGTACCAATTTACGTTCGATCTTCACAGCGCGCTACTTCACCCAAACCACCAACACCACAACCAGAATACGGTCAAACACAATCGTCGCCGGTGTCGAGTTTCCAAAGACAACCATCTCTGGAACAAACACAAACACCAATTTACACACGATCACCACGTAATGTATCGGCTTCACCAGTGAAACAATTAAATCAATCATCGTACAATCAACCGAGCAATGTTTGTGCTTCACCAGTGAAACAATTCAATCAGCCGACATTTAATCAATCAAATCAAAACGATTCACAATCTGAAAATTATCCGATTTATGTTCGCTCGTTCCAAAAGCAACAAGCACCGCCTGCACCGCAAGCACAACAGGCACCACAACAACCACTTTCTACAGCTCAACCATTTGTTAGCGAACCAGGCCGACAATACTATCAACCAAATCGAGCCAACAACTCACAACAAATGCCACCATGGATGAGACGAACCAATAGCAAAGAGCTACCAGAATGGGCAAGTAACAACGATGACTTCTGTCGACCAACAACTGCACCACCACAAAACAATCAACCATCCAACACGTTCTCAAATAACAATTCGAACTACTCAACAAATGGATCAACTCCACTGTACGGAAGCAATGGATCAAGCGCTCCCACTCAAAAGGTACCATTTCAAATTTGAATATTTCAGATTTAGAAATTAAATTGATTTTTAAAAAAATGTTTAGGAACGTGTTGTTCCGATTCAATTTGAGCAAACGCCAACGAAAACACCATCATCACCTGGTTTCACAGCACAACCGTACCAAAACACACCACCACAATACAATCGTGTGCAACCACCACCATTTGCTCCAACCGGTAAGTTTCGAGTTCGATTTTCATTTAAGCGAGAAAAAAAGGGAGAATAACATCGGTTCAATTCCAGCGTCAAATTATGCATCAACTTATAAAGATCCGCACCAATTTGTCGACCAAGGTTATAATAATGTTCAGAATTGGGACATCAACCAACATGTACCACCAAAAGCAAGCGATGGCTCACGCGTTATTCCGATCAAATTAGAAGACGGACATCCATATTTAAATGGGCCAGTGTCACAATCGCCACACGTCATTCAAAGGTATCAGCTTTAATTCATTTTATTTCATTTTATTCTCGCTCGCTCGCACTCACGTTTGATACTTTCTATTGCGCACACTAATTCATTGCGATGACGAATTTGAATCATTTCAAACGTCTGATTTTAGGAAGTATTTTATTTTTGAGTGTTACATTCAAAATGCACTGCATTGTGTGCAACTTATCGCCACTTACACAACAAAAACACTCAATAAAACCAAAATCCATACGAATTTATTTATAGAACATTCTTTATTATTTGTTTTCCATACTTTTGAAAGAATCTCTCAGATTTTTGTTGTCATTTCTTTTTTTGATTTTTGAACAAAACAAAAACGCACACACAAATATGTCGCCCAAAAAAAACATTTTTTTGTTTATTGTTGTTTCGTTAGCGGCAATTATCGATTTATAATACATGACTGTCCTCTTGCAGCCGAACTACAATATGTAAAAAATAGGCTCAGGTACTTCGAATTCACTTTTTTTTCTCTGTAAAACAACGTCTTTTTTTATTTCTGAACTGTGATTAACGCCATTTTTATAGTTGTTGCTGTTATTATTGTTGTTATTCCGATTTTGTTCAGCTTTGAATGAAGCATTTTCCGTCATTATTTCACCAAAAAAAATTCAACACACAAACACATCATAAATAAAAAAAAAATCAAATACTTGTGGAAATCAAGTTGCAAAATTCAGGAATTGTCGATAAAAACGTATGAAATTGGTCTAGTCATACTGTGAATTGGAGATGAAACGAAAATTGGCGTTCAGACTTGATTTCTGTGAATGATTTTGAACAAAAATATTCGCGCTATGGCAGATTTATTTATAAATGTTTTGTTTTTCTTTCTCTCTTCAATGAAATCCAGGGGAAGACTGTATTACATAATCCCAAATCACAATGATCAAAATAATGAAAATTTTATGTGAACCAATATTTTTTTAAAACTTTTTTCTTTTGAATTTATATTCAATCATTGTGAACCATTCTAACTTGTATTCATGCACAATATTCATGGTTCATCAACATTGCATATAATGTCGAAGAATTTCGAGCGTTCGTTATTGATATAAATAAAAAAATTTATAATTTCATAAATGTTTTTTTTTTCAATCAGGGCTCGAGAAAATATGTACGATAAAATATGTCAAAAAAATTAATTTAATATCTACGATATTTAGTACTTTGGAAGATTTGGTGAAACTAAAAGGCAGTGTGTCTATAATATATAGAAATATCACTAAATAGTGTCGATATCTATACTATATCGGTCCACTATATATGGAAGATATTGCTGCACGGCACCGTATCGCACGATCGAAGTGAGTGTAGACGGGAAAAATCACAAGTTGCCGTGCGGCAGTAGAAAGAACTGTGTGTATGCGTCAACATTTTTGCCGTCCGCACTCACTTCGATTGTGAGTTACGGTGTCTTGCGGAAATATCTTCCATATATAGTGCACCGATATAGTATAGATATCGACACTATTTAGTGCTATTTCTATATGTTATGGACACACTGCTAAAAGGTCATAAATAGTCATAAAAATCAATATATTTCGACCTAAATACAAAACATCTAACCAAATATCCATGGAAATTCGAAATAAATTCCGTTCTGGCAAAATTGAATAATTTTTTTGCCAGAAAACTCTGTCTCGAAAAAACGTCAGCAAAATTAAATAGTTCTTCAGCCAAAAACCCTAGAAAATTGGAATTATTTCCAAAATTGTGTAAAAATATTTGTGAAAAACTGGAAAACCACGAAATATTTATTTATCGTGAATAAATATTTTCTCGAGCCCTGTACATATTTTAGCATATAAGTCATATGGAAATTATAAAATCACTGATTCATACAACTCATAAAAAAGCGCAGCACTCACGCAGATCATTTCATTCAATCGTTTGATCATGTGTGCTTAATTCAACATATCAATTTTTTTTTTATTTAACCGTATTGATTTACAGACCAGCTCATTTTTTAGTCATGTTTATTTCATACAATATATCTTTTCTCATTTTTACTGCCACACACAAAAAAACCATAAATCGGCGCATGATTTATTGAACATTCATCCAATTCAATTTTTTGCTCGCAATGAATTACGGAACAGCGATATTCGATCGACAGCACCAAATCAATCGAAATCGTTCAGAGTATTGCAACAAATCACTGACACAATGAAAATGGATCCAAATGAATCGGCTGCTTTAAACAAACCGGCAGAATTACATCAACCACACTATTCACGTCCACTCGGACCAAATGACATGAATGAACATCAATTGCGCAAAATGAAATTGAACGATGGTAATTATAACATTTCAATCACAATGACATTGTAGGATATTTTCAGCTGTATGAGAGCTCAGCCCAAATGAAATAAATGAGTACGCTGAAGATATCCTAGTACAATGTCTGACTTTAATTAAAACAAAAATAAGCTGCATAAGAGTGTAATCCTTGACTTATTTCTGATCTAAAAAAACACATTTATTTTACAGATACTCCGAAAAATCAACCATACGAAGGTGAGAATGGCTTGTCAACTGCCATGGAAATAGTTTCATTCTTCAAAACAAAACGTAATAAATATTGATATTTATTATTATTATTTTTTAATTAGCTCGTTTCAAACAACAATTCCCTGATTGGGTGCCATGTAAACCATACAGTGTTCTTCAAACGGTGATGAGACCAGACAATGACGGTAGGTCAACGCTAGTTTTTTTCTCTTTTCCACACATGTACATAAACAGATTTTACATTTTAAAAAAACTTAGCTGTTAGTATCGAAAAAATTATTTCCAAAGCCAAGACGCAACTACTAAATTTCCATTTTTGAAAACAAATGAATTGGATGTGTATATATCAAAAAAAAAAAAATCTCAAAATTAAAAGCAAATTATTCACTTTAATGCCATATTTTAATGTTCCTTGCTCAAACCCAAAAAAACACTGAATTGCTTAAATTTTAAGTTAATTTATAGATTGTCTCCTACTTAAACTTGATTAACCTAAATCTCTTTTACTCTGTACATTTTATGCACAGTACAAAAATCTTCTCGTTCTAAATTTTATCAGAATTTATACGAAAATGTCGTTGCGCAAAATGAAATGGTATTTCGGTGCAACATCGAAATGAATTAGTGCATAGGGAACCGACTTTTATAAAAGAATGACATATTTCGGCTTTGGGAAAACTTGTGTTGAAGAATTTGTGCATAGTAATTTCTCTTGGACATCTCTTTTCAAAGTATTTTAAACAAAATCAACAAAATCATATGTGACCATAACGCAAAATTCACCGATATATTTTCGTCGCAGAATCAATAGGGATAAACAGACAACAAACTCACATCCATTCATCCAGCAGCCTCAAATACCTCACACTTTCAATACCTATTGTTGGCATTTATTGTCTTATTTTACTTAGAATCTCTTTTGGATACAGCTAAAAAAAAACAGAAAAAAATCTATCATTAGAGCACATTTGAACATATCATAATAACATTTATCTCTCTCGCATTTGTGTATTTTTTTGTACAGCTGATGTCCAAGTCTTAAACACTGTTCAGAACAATCATTTGAACTCTTTTCCCAATTTAACCAATTCCTTTTCTGATATTCCTTATACGGTGTCAATGCCACCAGATACACCGTCGTTGCAAAGTGTTTGTGATGATTCGATTGCCGAAGCAATCCCACTGCGGAACAATGATATTTATGAATCATGTGTTTATGATTCGTATTATGACAAAAATCCGCCAAAAAGTCGACCAATATCGACATACTCGGATTCGGCAACCGTTGTACCACGCATTGTAATCACTCCAACACCAGAAGACAATGAAAAACGTCGTGCAAGTTGGACAACCTATGAACAAGCCGATAAAATGGCCAAACAAAATGAAACATTTGAAAAGCTAACAAAAAAACTCAATCAAATCTATTCGAATGAAAATGTTGAAATAGAAGATGTTAAAACAGAAATAGTTGACGCAAAAATCGCCAGTACTGGTGTGGAAAGCAAAAATGTTGAATTTAAGCCATTTGGTGATGAAACCCAGAATTCAAACAATAACCAGTCGATCGTAAATAAATCAAACTTTACAAGTAGTAAAATTCTTCAACATAGTCAAGAATTGGATAGCTCAGAAAGTGATTCGCAAACCGAACAAAACGATTCACGTACAGAAAATAATGATAAAGAAATGTGTGAAATTTATGAACGAAAACGCAATGATAGTTTGTATGAAATTGAAGATATTCGAGAGTCCGAAATCCATTCGGATGATGAAAGTGCCGACATTATCGAGTTTATAATTGATAACAGTGGGGATGCAATGTCAAATTGTGACACAGTCGAATTCAATGATCATTTGAGTGTGATTTTTGAAGATGACGAACAAACACAAAACCATCGCATACGATTAGATAGTATATGCTCAAGTAATTCATCAGCAACATTGGCCAATGATGATAATGGCAGTAAACATTTCGATAGTGATGCAGAAGAAGAGGATGACGATAGCAGTACAGTTGAAAGCGACACTGAAAATAACACAGACAATGAATCGGATAGTGATGACGAAGACGATCAAAGTACATCGGTCACTGTTCGTTTGCCGTTGCGTTTGTCATTCAGCCGATCATCGAACGATGAAGAGATTACCACAGTTATGGTTGGTAAAAGTGAGATAGAAATCGAAGAGAATGTACCGTCATACAAAACAGCAAGAGAAGATTCGTCACCCGATGTTAGTGTGTCAATTAGTTTACGACCAAAAAGTCGACCATCTTACAGTCAACAATCTTCAGTTTATACATCGAAAAATATAAGTTTCGATAATGAGAACGATGACGACGACTCAGAAGTTTCCGTTTCGTTTTCAGTGCCAATAAAACACCAAACACTTAGTCCAGTTCCTTTGACACATCGACCAGCATTCAGACGACAACAAACACTAAGTCCAATTCCACACAATCGCGATGAATTTGAGTATAAACGTTGGGATCGCGGTGTCAGCGTGGATCGCATCACAAATATTCCAAAATCAAAAGAACAAAATTGGACTAAGAGAAACGATTTCATTGACAAACACAATATCAAGCAGAACATTTCAAATGTCACCGAGTATAATTCAAATCACAAAGTGGACAATGCAAATGTCGAAGAGACTGCTTCACATACAACTGAAGATAATTCAAAGAAAGATGATTCAAATGACATTGAGCCTGAAAATCGTTCGGTACGTGATAAAATTGCGGCATTTGAAACAATACCGATAAGTAGAAAAGATGAATTTCAACGACAAAACGCTTGCACATCTTTTGACGAACCGTTGGAGCAAACGCATATTAAATATAATAATAGTTTATATAAAAAAGAACATGAAGAAAATAAAGGCGAAGAAGACAAGAAATACGAAGAAAATAATACTTATAATGGATTTAATGAATATAACGAAAACATTTTTTACAAAGAAGATTATGCATTTAATCAGCCAATTTATGGAAATTCACCGCAAAGCGAACCACAAAAATCGATGAATACCTATTCAAATTACACGGAATACGATACACGAACAGTCACACCGAACTATGAATCGTACGTTTCGAATGAATACACAAGTTTACAATCACCATGCCAGTTTGTCAAGCCTGAATTCATTGAATCACAACATGAACATCCACAACAAACATACATGGGACAAACTGAACATACACATAACCTTGAGCGCAGTGAAAATAACTCTGAAGAATCAGAAGATACGGAAAAGGATTACAAAGCCAATTTGTCGGTGTCACAAAAGATTGCGGTGTTTGAACAGCCAGCGGCATGCCCACCAACGAAGATAGATGGTCAACATGAGATATCCACTGCTCGTGAAATGCCCACCGCTCCTGAAACAACTAATAAACCAGATAGCATTGTTAATAGATTCCTATCCAAAGTAAACGAAATCCAAACTCAGAAAATTGAAACACAAAAATCATTTGAATGTAAGACACAAAAATCATATGAGCCACAAATGCTACATTCACTTGAAATGCCTCAATCAAATCGAAATGCAAAATTGAAAAAAATGCATTCTGAACAACGTTCAACTCTCGATGAATCCGAACTCGAAGAGACCGATTCCGGTGTTGATATTCATCGTCAAATATCCGAAGATATTGATACTGAGTCTGAATGTTATTCCGAATTGCGAAAATTAACTCGCTATGAGCGTGCACAAACGCATTCACGTCTATTCAAAATCCTGCAAGAGTACGAAAGTGACATGAGCGATGTGGAAAAATCCAAAGCCGATGAAGAGGAAGTGATGCCATTGTATCGGCCAAAGAAAATCGTCCACAATGTATCAATAACGCGCAAACAAAATCCAGAACTGGCAAAACAAGCTGAAACAATGGCCGAACGCCGTGAACGTTTGCATTTGAATCACAATTGTTCAAGTATAGATACGGATAATCCATCATCATCGGCATCACCGTCATGCCTATCACCAACACCATCGGTCAATGAAAAGCTAATCGATGAATTGGTCCAAAGCGTTTTGAAACAGACAAAACGTCGAAATCTTCGCAATATTCCGATTGAAAAAATTCAATCTGCCGCACGAAAGGCATGGCTTCAACAACAAGAAGAAAATGATTCCTGTGATACATATAGCTCGTCGTTTGATTCAACGCCAGCATTAACACCGCAAGAATTTCACGATGATTATTATGATAGTGATGCCGATGGGAATATTGATATTTTTCCATCAAAAGCATTTAAACATTTGCAAGAACAATCGGTGTATGGGAGAAAGAATAAATTATGGGCAGCACGTTGTCCGCGTGTACTAAGCTCAAAGACGGTTAACAGCGATCTGAGTCGTGTCACGGAAACAAGAGAATCACAAACACCCGAACGTGATCAACAATATGTTTATAATAAATAAATTTCTTTATTTTCTTTTTACTCCTTTCCAATCCCAACATATCCCCATCCCATTTCTCCTTCCAAACAAACTGAGTTCAAATTCAAAACCGATTTCGTTCAGTGTTCAAAGGCATGCAAATACTGTTATGTTGTTGGCCACGCATACAATCATTCGCAATGCCCATCAAATCAACTCTCAACACTAAAAATAAAACAATTCATAAACACAAATAAAAAAAATACGCGCTCAGAAAACGCTAGAAATACGTAAACACCATCCTCATTCGCATGAATAAGCTATGGTATGGTTTGCGAAACCGAAGATTTTCTCATCGAAACGAATAGAGTTCGAAAGAATGGCCATATAGATATTTTTATTGATCGGCTGGTTTTCTTCATATTGAAATTTATATTTGAAAAATGTACCAATTAAACTAGTAAGCAAATCACCAACACACACACACATACAGACACAGTCACACATACAAATATGAAACGAATAAATAAAAAGGTATTTGAATTTGGCGAAATCGCACACACATTTTGTATTTGACGTTATTTATTGTTGTTGTTTTTCACACTGGCCAACAATTTTTTTTTTTTTTTTTTTTTTGAAATTTTTGAGTTTTTTTTCGTTTCCATTCGTTTTATCAGTTCTTTTTTTTCAATTTATATTTTTTGTGGATTTTTACACATATTATGAACCATTTTGTTTTTATTTATTTTGAAATTCTGTGTTGATTGTCGTAGATAAAAAAAAACCATTTCTCGTACAATATACATTAATGCAATAGCATTTTTTGATTTTTGTTAGTGTCTCATTTACGTCGAATTTATTTCAAACAAGTTGTTTTTGTGTGTTTTCGACGAAAAAAAAGTGGCTAGCTTCGCAATTATACTATATAGAGTCTGTTCTTTCATCTGGCAAATATTTGCTTGTTTCACTAACCACATACGTTTTTTGAATTTTCATTCATGGCCAACTCATCCATACACGTGGAAATTGAACATCAATTCCTGGGGAACAATTCCTCCGTTTATTTGTGCCTAAAATTTACAGATCATTTCATATTTATTTTAAGCAAAATTATTTTTTTTAGCACAACATTGTCTGCATACATTAGGAGTATTTTGTAGTTTAACAATATCATCATAGTCATACATATACATCGATTTTGTCATAATTTTAATGCATCGTAAGCATGCACTTGATAAATTCAAAAATATACCAAAATATTTTACACACACACACACATCTGCATTTTTGTAGTGGATAAAAGCCGTTTTTGTTTGTAGCTGCTGTAAACCGAGTTGTTCTGCGCACTCATAAAAAAATCTTTGGAGTAAACTCCACCTTTGTACTTTGGACGAGTTTGTCGAGAAATAAAATTCCTTTGACATTGGATTTGAACAAGAAAAATCGAATGCATAAAATCATTCAACACAAGTATCGCGTATCAATTAAATATTTTTGTAAATAAATAGAAACATGAACATTTCAAAATTCTAACAAATTTTGCTTTTTGACCGTATTGAGAATAAAAAGGTGAAGTTTTCGTCTTAAAAGATATGCACTCACAATACCAATATATTTAGATTTTCTAAACATTTCATGCATGTCGTTTGCTCCATTATAAATAAAACCATTTTAAATAAGTTCATAACTTGATCGATACGAAAGCAAAAGTGGATAAAAAATCAACTATTTCTAACCTAAAAAAAACTCAACTGTATTTATGAAATTCTCTTACTTTTGCTTTTTATCATCTAAAGTTGTGGAATCGGGTGCTTTAAAAGTTACACTTTGTTTTTAAGATTTAATATTTTGTGGGATTTTTTTCACCGTAGATTATTTCACACATTGACTCTCCATTTTTGAAGAATTTATTAATGTGTTTCTATTTCTTTTATACTTTCAGGACCTGGATATACTGATTTGTAACTATTTCTCTTACCATAGAAATGTGTTGCAAAATTAACAACGGAAATTTACAATTTTTGTTTCTCTATTAAATGATTGAACTTTAAACAAAAAAAAAACTACATACACACTAAAAAACGAACAAAATTGATACTATACGAAAGCTTCTTGTTATGCAAAATATTGTTTTTTCTTTTATCTCTCTCTTGAGTCAATGACAAAAAAAATTTAAAATAATTGCATTTTCTGCAAATAATGTACATTTAATAACAATTCGTAAATAAAATGTTGAAATGAACAAATTTTTCTTCTTTGTTTTTTACTGATCATGGATGGCGATGGTCCTTCAGGTTATGAACACATTTGGTTATTTCGCAGTGGAAAAACCAAAGGATAAGCAAGAAATAGAAGAATTTTTCTGTTATGAACTAAAAAGGCATATTTCTTTAGAAAAACAAAAATAACAACAAATATTTTTTTTCTTCAAATTATCTTTATTTAATCGATTGCTTTGAACATGCAAAGGTTGGTATAATCTAGTTTTTTTTTTGTCTTAATCTAGAGTATGCGTCGATACAAATTTTTCGGATAAACGATCGCATTCGGTTGTTTTTTTTAAGAGAAAAACTGAAGAATAAATATGCGACTTTCAGATGAGTTTAGAAGAAAGAAGTCATTTTTTTTCTTGAACATTTTTAAAAAAGAAGATCAACTAGTTTGGATCTTGTTGTTGATGTTTTCGTAAAAATAATTTTTAATTGCGCAAGATTTATGAATGAATAGCGCGTCTTTTTAGTGAAAATCCGTTTGTTTGATTGTTTACGTTTAATTCGACATGATTTTGTTCGAATGATTTAACATTAAATTTATCACTGATTGGTGTGAGATGTCTCTAGCTTTCATCCATCAAATGGTCGTTAACACTCAATGTATTGGGGAAAAGAGAGCCAGTCAAGGCATTCACCGAATCTTTTTGTACAGCTTGATAAACTTGCTGTAAATCGTTTGTACTTTGGATGTACTTCAAGAAATCGGCCATCTGAGCGTTTTTATCTGTAGAAAACAAAGAATAAATTAATACCGACATAGGTAAAGTTGAGATACGTGGAATCCGCTTGTGTTTTAACCTTACCCGCTTTAGGAATAGCAGCAAGTGCATATAATGCTCGAAGTGCTGATCGTTTGAGTTCTTCTTGTTTTTCGAATTCCTGTTTAACAGCATTTGTTTTCACCTTCATTGTACATGTTATTCGAAGTGGTTCAACGAATAGGTCCAATTCTGAAGAGATAAAAAATTAATTAAAATAAAAATCAAATATCATATTCAAAAGAACAGCGGCGCGCACTTACTTTGCAAAACTGAATTTGGACAGAGTGTCGAAAGACGAGCTGTCATCAAGTATGATAACATTTTGATGTCATAATGATCCTTTAGACCGGCTTGTACATGCTCCAAAAATTGGTTGATATCAACACGTTCGAGTCCTTGTTCTAACAATGTGTACATGCATTCAAAGGCAGCTTTTCGAATGTCTAAACCATCGTCGACAGTGTGTTTGAATGGGCCCATTTCGACTTCACGAATGAGTTCCGGTTTCACTTTTGTCTCTTCGTACAAATGTGGCAACAATGTTGGTAGTAAGTCTCGCACCAAACTTGGTTTATTATGCACAGCCGAATTGAATGCAACCAATGCAACGCGACGCACCGACGGTTCCGGGTCGGTCAATGTGCACAAAAATTGTCCAATGCATTGTCGTAACAAAATGTCAATCGGTTGTGGTTGATCTGAGATTGTAAATTTAATGGCTGATACAACAGCTGTCTTCATAAGTGGGCTGCCAGCAACCAGTGCTTGTTGCAAAAATGGCAACAATTCTTCCGGTTTCACCAACACCAATTTTCCTAAGCATTCCGCAACCACATTACGGGCACCTTCTTCGGGGCACTCACAATGCTTAAACAGTTGTGTCCAAATTGATGGTACTGATGGCAACAGTTGCTGCAAACCGTTTGGCGATTGTGATAATGAACTTATCAGCTCTTTGAGCGAATGCAATAAGAGATATTGACGTTTTGGTTGCGTTTCGATTTCGTTCAAAATATATGGTAGATAATAGTTAACGTTGCCAACAGCAACAGCGCCAAGTGCATGTGATGCGGCCGATTTTATATCTTCCGATGTCGATGCAAAACAATTGATTACCAACTGTGGCAGTTGTTCAATTACAGACAAATTGCTATTGCGAATAATGAAAAGATAATTTTTGAATGAGAACAACGTCAGGAGCATCAAAAAAAAGCGATCAATATACTTACAAATGACGACCAATTTCGCCGATTGTGAGCAAACAGAAAACGGTGTGTGCATCGCTGCGTTTCTTCGAAATATCATCGAGCAATTCATTTGCCAATGGGATCGCTTCATTTTGAACTTGAAGTGTTAAAGCTGCAACACATTTTGCAATTGTATGGAAAGCCTACGGGTGAATTAAATCAATGATTATTTGATATGTTTTTTTTTAGAAAGATGCGTGAAAATGTGGAAGAACAGTAACATTGAAACTTACGTGTTTATGCAATTGTTGGTTGGGCTGTTGATTAACAACGAGCGAACGAAGCATGTCCAACAGTTGACGATAGCCTAGGCCAGGCAATTGAGTTCGTACCAAAGCTTGGAATAGATCCAACATACAATTCAATGCAGTGCCTTGCAGAAGTGGTGATCGAACCAGATTCAGTATTTCGGGTAAAATGGTTCGATATGTATTGGTCAATGCTTGACTTTGGAATCGAGCCGTAGATGTAATAAACACCAATGACTGTTGTGCAACATGCAAATCAGCTTCGCTAAGTAGCGAATTTCCGCCGCTTTTTACAGTACTTCCCATTTCGGCAATGGCACCATTCAACAATTCCGGATTGATGTACGTATTGTAGTTATTCACCAATGTGTCGAGCAAGCAAATCGAATTGAGTTTCAATGCACGTTGATTTTTACGCAAAAATGAACCCAATAATTGAATTGTGTCAGGCTAAAACAGAATTTAGTAAATTAATGAAATAAATGAACAAATCAAAATTAAAATTGATCAAAATATGATTGCACTTACCAAAATTGGTATAAGATTAACACGTAGCGGTGAACCGGCAATCATAATCAATGCTTTGACAGCATTCAAACGTGTTACTTCGTTGCGTAAACGTTCCAAAAATATTGGCAGACACACAGCCAATTCAGCATTCAAAACATCGCCCAAATTCGAAATGATTTGTCCCATACAAATGATGGCTCGTTCTTTCACCTCTTGATCGACCTCTTGCGATTTCAATTTTTGCAATGTACAATCGTAAATTTGACCAACGAATGGCGTGAATTCAGGAACCAATTGAGAGTCTAAAGTGAAATAAATTAAAATTAAATACGTTTTTTATTCACTCATTTATGGAAGCGTTAATTCAGTTGAAAAATATTGAAACTTACTTTGTTCAACCGGCCGTATGACTTTGACCAAGTATTGCAAAACAAGAAGAGCTTCTGTGGCAATTTTGTAGAATGGATCAAATACCGATGAAACGACCAACGGTACCAATGTTGAAATATGTGGATGAAAAACGGCCGGACTATGTGTTGTTAACATGCACGTAAGGAAACCCAGTGCGTCGATTTTCATGTTTGATGTCGAATTTTTATCGCTTAGCGAATGTTGAATGCCCAGCATCAACAGATCGAAGTTGTGTGTGAATGCGCCAGGCAATGCGTTCAATAGTTCGCGCAGCAATAAATAACAATCTTGACGTGTTTTAATGGATTTTTCTCGCATCAACGGCTGTACATGTCGAACAATTTCCGGAACTTGTTCTTGTAACATTTGAATTGGGCCCGATACTTGCTCCATGGCATCCGGTGTGGCGATATCATCATTTGGTTTGGTGATTCGTAACAGTGCAATGTATGCATGGAAAATGTCCGATTTCACATTTTCTTCACGTTCTTTGAAGCGTGCAATGAGTGCTGGTGACAACACTTTGTAGAAATCTTCAACCAAATCTGGTCGAGACGAAATGACCGCTTCCAAACACTTGGCGGCCGATCGACGCACTTTCCAACTCATGTCATCATCATCACTGTACTCCTCACTGTCAATGTATTCATCGTCTTCCGTGTCCATAAAACTATTGACGGCCGTATCGTCGGCTTCATAATTGTAGTTTGGATCATATGTGATGTAATTTAACGACAAATCTACAATCTGATGCAAAAAATATGTTTAAAATTTAAGTGAAACATTGAACAAAAAAAACCTTACCGATTTAATATGTGGTGTAATTGCCTCTGGGCATCGTTGTACGAAAGCTTCATACGCTTGATTACAATATTCACGTAATTCATCGTCGTCTTTCAAACTAAATTCATTCACCAACACCATGATGCGATCGATATAATTGCACAGTCGGTGACCAGCTTGGCGGCTGCAAATTAAAACATAAAAATTGATATTATAACTATACAGTAGTAGCATTTGTATTTAAATAAAAAACAAAGTAATCTGATCAAAGTTTATTGCTTGAAACCTAACCTAACCTAAACCATTGTTGTGAATGACTTTTGCTTGAACTTACCAAATAGATGCCAAGCATTGAATATTGGTGCGAATAACGATTTGATTCTGTCGTCCTTCGAGCCCATGAATCAAATGTGCGATAACTTTGTCATAAACGTTGGCGTTGCAATTGATGAGCAAATGTGATAATGCGGCAATTGTACGTTTTCGTACGGCCGGTCGTTGTGATGACAATTGCGGTAGCAATGCTTTGAGTATGGTGTCATGAAATGGAATCAATAAATCACCAAAACGTGAAAGCAAATCTGACAAAATGTCCAATGCTTCAAGTTGTACGGATACATCTTCTTTTTCGATGGCCGCACTCAATTTGCCGGTGATGCGTTGACAAACGTTTGGTGCCAGTGTATTCGATCCATATGAATTTGGTGTTTGTGGCAATTCCGATATGACCGTTTTCAATCCGATGCTCGATATATCACGCAATTGTTCATCATTCGATATCATATTGGTGCATAATGAATCGACAATAATTTCAACTTGATTCTCCTTCACTTTATTCACCAGCGGACCCAAACATTTCACCGCCAAATTCTGTACTTCACCATTTTTATCATCAAGTAATTGCAAAACCTTATGCACCACCTTTCGTTCCGATTCGTCATCCAATTTAATGCTGTCTTTTTGCAATTCGCTCATTAAATCATTTGTAGCCATAAATCGAAAGTCTTTGTCATTGGATGTCATCTACAAAGACATTATTTGTGTTTCGAAAATGAGATTGTTCGCATTGGCAGAAGGGGATAGAAAGAGAATTTAAAAAAAACATAACCCATATTAAAACACATGCATTGTTAAAATATTCCGAGAATTGACACGAACAAATAAACAATCAAATGCTAACATCATCAGATTTTTCCATCGACAAATCAAATAAATGGATGCCATTCCAATACATGTATTGCCAAATTTACGATGGAACATTGGAAAAAAATGCTTTAAAAAATTTATTACCTTCTCCAGAAGATTGGCGATATGATGATAATGAGTCATTTTTGATGAATTTTTCTCTGCTCACTTTTCTGACAATCGATATAACACAAAGAAACTTGTAGCCCAAAATCAATTTGCGGCAATTTTACAATTCACAGCAATTCTACTTGTTTATCTCTTCAAAACGATCCAACAATAAAATCAACTACGATGACTGTAAGAATGATTTTCGATAATTTCTATACTGCTACGCAAATGGCGTTATTCTCCGGCTTTACTGTCGCGCTTGTATTTTATGTATGTGTATTCTCTGATCGCACACACTACGAAACACAGTGAAACTTCAAATAATACAATTTTCGTTCAGTCATTGTCTCTCTGTTCGCATAAGCACATATTGAGCATCACAATGACATTTCATTGGGTACGTTCGATTCAAATGGATGCGTTTGATAGTTCTGTGGGAATTTTGAATGGACGAGAAAATACGGTAAGATTTACATAAAGAACATATTTTTATTGATTTTATTTTACTTTCAAACTAATATGCTTTAACAAAAAATGTGAACAAAAAAGACATTTTGAATATTTCTCAACTAATTTTTTTATTTATTCATTTTTTTGTTGTTTTCAATGTATTAATTCTAACAATATAAAAAGGAACATTTCAAGAAATGTTTTTTTTTTCGTCAAATAATATGAATGAAAATTAATAAAATAAATATTAGTTAAATATGTTTAGACTAAAAACACGTTTGCTATTAAAAGTAGATAAATTGAATGTAATTTGTAAGCATTAACATAATTCATTTGTTTTGAACAGCTATGTATGTCCAAACAAATTATCTCATTTATTAGTTTGATATGCAAAAGCAAGAAAGAAAACATAAAAAGAAGAATTTATGTGAAAAATAACAGTAGTAGTAAATAAAGCAGTTTCTTACTATATGAAAATTTCAGATACCGTACAAAATAAATTATTTCACAAAAAACCGATAATGTCACAAAGCTCGTAAAAGGAGGTTATTCTTATCGGAAGGGAATCGTCAAATTTATAGGATTATAAAAGGGCTATTCAGGACATGTCAAAACAACAACAACAACCTAATGTGAAATCCAAACATTGAAAAAAATATTGCTGATTTTTTTTTCATAAAAGATAAAGTCAATTTTGACTTATCGAAATAATTTTTTTTAATGGAAATGATGATTTGACAAACAATTTCAACAAGATATTTTGTTGTCAATATTTTTTACAAGCCAAAAATTGATGGTAATTGCACGTTCATTCAAACATTATGAACTCGAGGTTAATTAATAGTTTCCAATCGAAAAATTCCAAACATAATTATTATAATAATTGTTTTTTAAAATTTGTTCATGTTTTTGATACTCATTAATAGTGTTTTGAAGCATATAAACAATTGCAACAACAATTTTCAAATGTCATGGCATATTTTTGATTTTTTATTCAATGCAAGCAACTTGTCTACATCTATTTCGTTCAATTTTGGATTTTAACGATTAATTATAAAGCATTGATGAATTGATCATTTCGATCATACAATAAGCATAGACTACGTGCTACTAACATTTATAAACACATTATATAGACTTTTATTTTGATTTTAAATAGTTATTATGTTATTGACAACTGTTGCTATTTGGAATGTTTGATTATTAAGCATCATTCACTGAATTCTTTTATTGCATAGCATATAAGAAATGGACTAAAAATAGTATTTTATGGAAGTCAACACATTGCAAATATTGTCTATGTCTAATAGTTTAAATCCATTTTTTTAGTCTTGTCAACTTACCAATCCTGTATAATTTGCTTACGACACTATTTATTTGCCGATTTTCTTCATTTTTCCCATAATATTTTGTATGAATTGGTACTCTTTGCATTCATCACATAAAATTTTGCCAGTCGACGATAAATCGTGGGTGGCTTTGTCATGACAAACAATGTGCACCAATTTTAAATTTTGTATAGTAAATAATTCCAAAAAGTATTCCATTGCAGACAGTTGACATGCGGGTTTTTTGTGCTCTTCGCACTTGACCTTATCAATAACGATGGCATGTACGTTATTCAAAATGTTTGGTAAAACTGTTCGTGAAATTTCAATCTGATGATCTAAATTCCATTGTGAAAATAGAATCACATTTTCTCGGCTGGCATATGGATTAATTCGGTGGTTTTTATATTGGCAATTTTGACTCGACCATAATCCGTGGCATCGAAACTCACCTTGCTCATTACAAAGTGAAACACAATAGTTTTCTTTCAAGTCGGTTTCACTAATAATATCACGTATTGCGTCCACTTTTACTTTCTTTCTTGGTGGTCCTCTGGTTCCATCAATATCATCATTATTTTCAAGTTCAAGCACGAATTGGTGCCGATTTTCACACTTTCGATTAAACAATGAACTGAAATAATCAACACCGATCAAAAAGTACTGGAACATTTCCAATAAGTCATCGAGCAATTTACGTGCCTATAACGATAAAATCGTCGAACTATTATTTTACAAACGTTGTCATGAAAGAGCAACGAAAAATAAAACTTACATTGGCATTTGTTCGATAGATGCTTGAATTTTGTAGTTCGTCCTTTGCTTTATAATAGTAGCCTCGAATACGATCTTGAGATCTCCGAGCCATGACATCTTCTTTTGTATGTAGTGTTTCTGATACACCTTCAAACCATTCGCTGTGTTCAATGCGATTGCTTGCCTGAGTTTTTTCAATCAAATTTTTTGTATTTGCTTGATAATTTACAAAGAATTTCTCAAATTCACTACGATTATCGGTGATGAAATTTTGAATTGTTTCTGCCGCATTAAATGTATGGGCATGAACACTTCGTATTGCTTCGTACATCAGTTGAAAGTCTAACGGTCAACAGAATGAATTTCAATAGAGAATGGAGACAATCCAAGTTTAAGGTCAAGGTTAATGTGACAATGAAATATTTCTTCGTACCTGTTTTCACTAGATGCACATCTGTCGCAATTACAAATAATGTTTGCGGTTCAATTGTCGCAAAATAGGTATCATCTTGAATTTCGGTACCATCTCTTGCGAGGAACACCCGGCAATTCTCAATCTTAAACAAACAAACAAATGTAAAATGCAATGCATCTTTTTTCTATCGAGAGTAATGTTACCTTCAATTTTACTGAAGCCTTGTCCTTCAACATTTGCAGTGAATCGGCTGCAACACCATATTTTTTCTTTCGATCGATGGTGGTGATTTTATATCCTTTTAGCGGTCTCTTGAAACTACCAAATAAACCAAACATCTTTAATCACGAATTTTTCGTTTTGATACGGCTGCCGTCAAAAGTGAAACTATTATTATAAATTGCGCGTTTCTCCGTAATATCGATGCTATAAGCGTCCTATTGCGTACAGTGTTGTTATCTATCTATAGTTGTGTGGTGTATATTTAAACTGAATATGGATTGCGAAATGTCAAAACAAAATCAGTGCACTTTTTATGCATGTGCTTAACCTTGAACTCTAAACAGCGACAGTCTCGTGCTTTGCAATGAATCAAATATGAAAATGTGGTATGTGCATTTTTATCGAAATTAATCATATTTTTTCATTTTTTTGTACTACATTCTTCAATATGTATTGAGAAATCATTTATATGTTACATCGAAATGAAACATCCAAATTCAGCAAAACCAGTTGAAAAGTTCATTGGATAGAATAGAAACCACTGACTTCGCGCCAACTTCACGCTTACTGGCTGACAAATACCCACACACATAAAGTATCAATATCATCGGTGTAAATGTTAACGCTCGACATATACGAATCAACTACATGCATATTGCATTCCGAAGTTTTAATTCTAACTCGTTAGCACATCACATGAATTGTTAAAAGTGTGTTTTGTTTTCATTGCCAATCAACAACAGAAAAATAAACAACAATCGTACCGCAAATGAAATCTTGTAAATGTAACAGTGCGTATTTGTTGTATAAGTTAAACTGTTAAAGTGTTAAAAACATTTACATCGTATAATTACATTGACTTTAATTCATCACCAGCGATATAAATGGCTTGTAGTCTCCGAATAGAGGGGCTATTTATAATCCGATAGGCCAATGTTCTGGTTATTTTTTAAAACAGTGTCGAATGTGTTGTTGTTTTTGTTGCCTTTTTTTGGTTAATGTTGATTCAAAACACATGGCCTTTATTTACCGATGTCAAACAGTAGCCAAATAAGCTTTTCGAATCGATAAAATAAATCAAACATATGCTAGATGAAAAGTAAACAGTTTCTGACATACACAGTGAAGAAAAAGTTAAATGACTTCGTTTAATTGAAGCAGCGGAAATTTACGTCCGGAGCAATTATCTCATGCGTTACGCAGACATAGATAACATATGTACCGCACAGGGAATATGTATTCGCATTCAAATAAATGAAATAATAGAAAGTGTAGAAAAAAGAAGAAATAAAAAGTGGCATCTAGAACGAAATGGAACACAGCAGTTAATTTTAAATTGATGTTATCTTGCCCTGAATCAATCATGCGCCCTTGAACAATGAAATACACAGTAATTTTTTCTTAATTTATGGCTTCGTTCTTTCCTCCGCAAATTCGATTAACGTTGGAGACGAGCTTCAAAACTGTCTGCGTCTACGACAATAATTGAATTTATTTTAGATGCAAAATTTACAGTGCCGACACCATGGTGATGACGAAGATGACATCGACAATCAAGTCTATGTCGACGAATGCATGTCGCTCAATTAAACTTAATGAAGTAAATAAAACGTACACTTTTACGGACGATACACAAATTAGCATGCGACTGAATTAGTATTACATTTTCCAGTGTGACTAGGAAGTAAGACAACATACTTTCATCGACATCAATACACAAATAGGCTAACGAATAAACAAACAACGTATCGCACTACAACACAACGATGGGAAGATGTAAAAGAATGAAATGAACAAGAGAAACAAGTGAAGTGAATAAAATACTGTAATTTGAAATATGTATGTGAAATGTGTAGTGAACCAACCGATTTGAACTAACCGTTTGTATATAGTCTTCATCTTGCTGGTATGACGTGACGTACGTTGACGACTTTATTGCGCTCAATGAATAACGACGGGATTGTAAAATTGTACAGTTATTCATAAGTTATGGACAATAGCAGACATTACAATTTTATATTTCAGTGTAGAGTGTTTTCAGTGGCACACCGAAGAAAAACAGTCAATTGAAACCGATTTTTGTGCTCCAGTTTTTATTTTATTTACATTCATTTCAAAGTATGATTTATACATAGAAATTGTGGTTGTGACAATATTGCCGCATTGACAACAGTACATCAGTTGTAATTGAAATTGTGATGTGAAAAGATGTGCAAAGCAAAATTATTATAATTTGAAAGAAAGACTATGACGAATAAAAGACAATTTCGTTTGCAATCAATGTGTGTTCAATAAATTATCGAAGTTACGATAGCGCATTTAAATTAGAATAATAATTCCATAATGTTAAGCAAGAATTCCAAAATCAGTGAATCATTCGAGCGCATTTGTGAGACTTTTGATATAAAACAGAACGTTTAGAATTTCAGTGTGTATCAAGTGAATTTTTCTGGCTCATTCATTTATATCAAACCGATGTATTGACTGTATCCGGTGGTGTGACGAATGTGTCACTGTGCATAGAACATTACTGAAGGGATATGTTTTCGTTTGACCGGCATGGAAATGCGCGAATTTGATACGACTGATTCGGAAACCGAGTTCCTGTTAAATCCAGATCGAGACCATCGAAATAAAAATGGCAACCTCGCATCGATTGCCTTACAACAAACCCATCGAAACCGGCGAAAACGTGTTCGTAAATTAGGCACTATTTTACGATTTACTTGCGGGTAAGCGGGGATTGTTTGTTTTGATGTTAATCAACACTTTAATTTAATATTTTGGCAAAATTGTGTTTCGACAAGTGAATGTCACAACAGCAATCGATATAATTGATAGCTTTGAGTGTGATAATACTTTTAACCAAGTGTTTACATAATGTGTTTCTGGTTCTACGCTGTATGAATAATTGAATTAAAGATGAACACCCGCAAAACCACGTATGCAGAATGCGTGTTGGTCGTCTTTGTATTTCTTTTTTCATCGAACTTCCTTTCAAAACAATGCTTTCATTCAATATCTATCTATCGCTCTTTTGCGCTTTCGTTTAACTGCTGTTGCCGTTCTAATACTATCGTAGTCGTCAGTTTTCCATGTTTCAAACAAATTCAGTCTATTAGATCACTCTGACGATCCACAGTGTGTGTAGTGTGTGCGCGGTGTGGCTTTGGTTTTTTTTTTCTTTTCAAATAAACATCATTCTGGTTTGCAATTTCAATTCAGTGCTTTTCTGTGTGATCTTTTGCCCCGCTGCTTTTTCCTACACAGCCAACAAACCAAATCAAGAGAATTTACGTGTTTCGTCGTATACACTTAAATATCTCTTTTTATTACACACCAAAACTGGTCAACTAAAAAGAATGAACCGACAACAGTTAAAACTTATTTTTATTCGAACCTAACGTAAAAAAAAATTAAGGTTGCCTTTTTTTTAGTTTGGAATGTGTATTTTTTCGGTAAAAATTTAAAGATATTTATCGACATCAGTTTGTATGCCGTACAAAATAGGCTGATGATTCGTATAATTTCAGGAACGCATATAATTTCTGAATCATCAGAAAAAATGCTGCCTTTTGTTAGTGAATATTTAATGAAAGCATATGCAAATTTCGGTTAAAACAAGTCATTCGTCAGTGATTATTGCTTTTACAAGTGGGTTTGACGCACAGCATTGTGTTTGTTGAAAAAGAAATTTAAGTTGCAAACATAGAAATTAAAGAATTGGAACTATTTTTCAAAGTGTATGCATACGTGTGATGAATTGGTATCAATATTGTTCCATTTACTGGACTATGTACGTGTATTTCGTGGGTATTTTTTTATATCTCATTTCTGAAAATTCATTTCAATGGAAGAAAACGTTTTTTTTACACAATATTTGTCTATAAATATCTCTCTCTCACAAAATTCAAGTGTTTGCATTGCCAGAGTTACGAAAAAATTGAATTTTATAGTGTTGCGTGTTTGATCTAAGATAAGGTTGGCCTTAAAAAAACACACTATGTTGCACATATAGTTTTTCGAATGCTATTCAAGCTTGACGGAATATGCAAAATCCCCTTCGTACTTTCAATCAATGATGGAATTTATAAAAATGTAGATTTAACACATGTTTTTCTTTGAGCATTCACAATGAATTGAACGAATCAAATATGTTTATCTTAAAATCGTGATTTAATCATTTCGATCCATTTCCATTAAATCGTATTTTTAATCAGTTTTTCGATTAACGTGGCAGTTTTCTCTGGAACGTACGTAAACTTTGTGTCTCAAAATTTGCATTTGTTGACACAAAATATGCTCATTCAACGCAAAATTGTTATTTTTTTTTTCGACGATTTGTCCGCCAAAATTTCGTCAAACAACAGAACATTTTCAAGATCGTGGCGAGAAATAAAGAAAATTCGTTAACTTTTGATTAAATCATCTAATTAGTTTGATGCTCGTAAACAAGTCAATGTTGTTGTTTTTGTTATTTGTTTTTGCATATTCGTGATAATAAGTGTTTTCAGTCAACAATCAAATCGAATACAATTTCTATTTATTTGCTCAGCTATGGCTCAATGTGCTTAATAATAATAATTCATGGTTGCCCACGGAATCGATGCATTAATCGGCACACGAATCAAATTTGTTGGAGAATTTTTATTGTGTTTTTTTTATTGATGTGAAAAAAAAAACTGTACACGTTGCATGAATGACCGACGTTGGACACGGAGGCGCTATCGTTATTGATAATGCTACAAGATTTCATATGTGTGTACAATAATTGAAAGCAAATATGAGAACCAATTTCAAGACGACGAAAATTAACTCGGAAATGGATTATAAACCAATTATTTGTTGATATGCCCAAATGGGTATTAGTCATGCCTTATAATTAATAATAAATGAATGTGTGTACCGAGCGAATCGATTACATTGGTTGTCATAAATGCGGCTCATATGTGTGTAATTGACCATTTCCACAATGTCTTTAATAAATATTTACCGCACGCATTTGATCTCTTTTGCCATATAAAGACCTCGGAGAAATGATTTCGATCGGAACAAATGAGATAAGGTCCACATGTAATTACCTACGATATAATGAAGGAATAAAAAACCCAAAATCGACCATATACCATCTAAATCCATTAACATTGTTTGATTTGTAAATTTTGTTCTTCCCACATTTAATGTGCTCCGACAATAATAAAGTTGTTAAAAATCTACTGAAAAATAAAACAATACAAGACACAACCAAAAGAAAATTGTTCATATGTTTGTTTCGATACGTTTTTTCCTACCATAACGTGTTCCAGTTAATAAAAATTTTGTGGGTAATATTCTCAAGAAAATTCTACTTCCAGCCACTGGCTGGCAGCCACTCTTACCACACTTGTGTGTGCGTGCGTATTTGTGTTTAATTCCAGCTGTGTGAGTAAACATATGGTCGCTATCTATGAATGGGTAATGGAATTGTTTCGTCACTGTATTTGTTTTGTTGATTTTTTCCCGTATTTCATTCGAAGGCAACTTCACACAGTACTGACTTCAATGTCTGTGCAAAAACACCAAAACAAATAACTAAAAATACACAGCATCACCTATCCATTTTTCTCACACACATTTCTCGTTTTGTGATCTCTCTGTGTGTTGTTCTTTCTCTTTATATAGTGGGTTCATCGAAATTGCTATTTGTGATAAAACGAAATTTTATGAGGCTTGTTAGTCATACGCTGAAAAAAGTGTGCCTCAAAACGAGAGAGTGAACTAAACAGATTGGACACACTATTCGTATTCTATAGCTAACAAGTCTTACTAAAATCTTGTGTGTTTTCAATAAAGACATTTTTCATCATCGTAAATAGACAAAAAAATAGCAGAGTTTGTAATAAATTTAAATTAAATATTGTCGTTGGATCGTCTCAAGTTTTGTATACTTTTGTGAGCAGTAATAAAACGAAAAGAAACTCATTTGCATTGAATGGATTTAATGCTATTGAAAAATAAAAAAGAACTTGCAATTCAAGCGATTAATTTCAACGATTTTATGGATTCCAAAGAGTGTCATTTACTTGATTCGCTTGATTTATTGCGACGTTGTAAACCATCTCATACAATGCATCGCTAATTGATATGCGAACGTAATGAAAATCGTATAAATTCTCAAAGGAAATCGTTTGTGTAGCATTTTATTTTAGTGCTGTACAAGTTTTAAACATATGAGTAAAGTGCGAACGAGTGTTAAGTCAAGATTTTTTAAAACTAGGCCATTTCGATACTCATTCTGGGTGCGTGCGTGTATGTTCTGAAAATAAGTTTGCGAAATGCAAGTTATGCCAAGTGACGATTATTTTAGTGACGATGCAATTCAAATTACAACAACTACACCAATCAATCGTGATTCAACACCATTGATACATAATCCACCACGAAAGTGGCTATTTTTTTGTAGGTCAGTCTTTGAATTCATTGAATATCCATAGAAAAATTCAACTATTATCATCTTTGTCGTCAATATGTTCTTTACAGTAAAATCTATCGATTTAACGAATCGTCCAATATCGTTCATATTTTATGCATTTGTATGGGTTTAACGATACGAACATTGCTTTTATATGTCTTCTGTACATTGGCTTTGCTTACACAAATTAAAATAAAGTGTTTGTAAATAATAAATTGTATTCTGTTTACTTTGATTTGCTAAACAATCACCTCTGATGAAAGGTGATTCATGCCGATTTTCAATACACGTATGTTATTGGAATACGGCGGCCCTTCGTTTTAACTTGAATTGATCGACATCGAAAATAGAAGGAAAAAAACACGTAATAATACCTTGATGATTTGACATATTGATCTGGCCAATTTCAAGTAAATATGAAGTTTGACTTTTCAATTATTTCTTGGAAATGCTAATATGTGGAAAGAGTTGGGGAAAAAATCGATTTTGTTCCAAATGCCTACAACTAAGTAGAACGAATAGTTTTTTATCGCGAGTTGAGCCTGTATGACGCATTGAAATCACTGTGGTAACAACAACAGCAACGGAGCGAAAAACTCCCAGTTACGAATAATAACTTACAATCGAATGTGTAAAGCAACACGAAATATTTCAGCGTGTGTACACACATTCTTCAGCGTCTATTTTTGGACGCATAAAATGTAATTTTGCGATGGGCTATTGTTTTCATATGGTCGTCTTTCATTATACAGAACGAAAACAAAACAAACACATTAACGAACTCATGCAAGCGGAAAAAATGGATTTTGTGTCGCCTGAAGTCATTCAACGACGCTCATATTATCGTGATAATGTGTCATCTTTCACATTTCTCGCATTTTTCACAAAGTTTTTCCTATAAACCAAATCCGTTAAAATTTAAGTGTCAAACCGTCTGCACGCACACACATAAACAAATTGTCCATTTTCATTTTTCGTCGTTTGTATGCCTGTCTTCTCCATTCTGCCATTTTCATTGTTTTTCTCTTCTTTTTTTGACTGGTTTAAATCAGTACAAATGAGCAGCTCTATACATTTTAATGACGTTAACATTTTGTTTTCCTTTTTTATCCTTACCCATATATGTGTGCCGTTCCGCAGTTGCTGGTGGTGGATATGGAGAAAGTTCTGTTCACCGCGCGAGCTTCGCTCCCGCACCATACACATTGGAAGGCCGTGCGAAGAAAAATACCCACCAAATGCTATTCGAAATCAGGTAAATATTATCATTTTTTTCGATTTGTTTTGTTTTTGTCCCCACTATATTGCGCACATGTTTATTAATAGCAGCGGTAATTAGTCTTTGCAATAAATCAATTTAAATGTTATCAAATGGCATTTTGGGCGAAATAAAGATAGTGGCATGTACTTATGTAATATGTGAATAAACCGCCCACATTTAGTACTCGCTGGAGAAGTCATCGATTTTTTTCGTGTGCGTGCTATCGTGTGACCTCATCAACGATGGACACCACTTGATAATGAAAATAGGGAAAAAAGTTAAAGTTCTGCGCTCGAAAAAATAATGTTGACCTTGACTATTTTCGAGTGAAAGAGAACTATTGTCATCATTTGAATCTACAGAATAAATCGATGCCTTTAAAAATGCATGCGTCATATTTAATGTGTTTTATTTATATAAAGATTTCCACCCATTTTTATTTATCATATTATATTAATCAATGATTTTGTTTTTTTTTTTACATTTTTTTTCCAGAAATATAATTTTTTCACATTTCTGCCACTGGTACTTTTCCAGCAATTCCGTTTCTTTTTAAATTTATACTTTCTAATTATGGCAATCAGTCAATTTCTACCTGACGTTCGCATTGGGTATTTGTACACGTATTGGGGTCCTCTTGGATTTGTGTTAACAGTAACGATATGTCGTGAAGCGGTCGACGATATTCGACGTCATCAACGAGATCGTGAGGTGAACTCACAAAAATATCGTAAATGTGTCGGACCTGACCAACCATTACAAATGGTATCATCTTCGAAACTAAAGGTGAATTGTCTCGTCGTCTGATTAAACATAAACACGAACATATTCTGTTTTTTTTTCACGCCATGAATATTAATTAACATTCACTTTACGCATGCATGCAACAGGTTGGTGACATTATTATCGTTGAAAAAGATGAACGAGTTCCAGCTGATTTGGTGCTATTGCGAACAACTGAAAAAACCGGCACCGTTTTTGTGCGAACCGATCAATTAGATGGAGAGACTGACTGGAAATTGCGTTTGGCTGTGCCAGCAACACAACGATTGGCCAACGATTCCGAATTGTTCAATATACGAAGTAGCATTTATGTGGAGAAACCTCAACGGGACATTCATTCCTTTATCGGAACGTTTTCAAAAGAAGGTGGCACCGAAGAAGACAGTTTAGATTTAGAAAATACACTTTGGGCAAACACGGTTATCGCTGCTGGCCGAGCAACTGGTGTCGTCATTTATACGGGATGCGAAACCAGAAGTGTGATGAACAATTCAACACCACGATCAAAAGTCGGTCTCATCGATATGGAAATCAATAATTTGACGAAACTATTATTTTGTGCTGTGATTGGTTTAGCATTAGTAATGATGTGTTTGAAAGGATTTAATGGACCATGGTATCGATATATGTTTCGTTTTGTGCTGTTATTCTCATACATTATACCAATTAGTTTGCGTGTTAATTTGGACATGGGTAAATCATATTGTTTTGTTCTTAAACTAATATAAATTCTTTTCCATTATTTCGACTATTTTGATTATTCTTTTCTTTTGTGATTCTCCCCTTAGGTAAATCATATTACTCGTATAAAATACAAAAGGACCGTGAAATTCAAGGCACCGTTGTTAGATCGACAACTATTCCGGAGGAGCTTGGTCGCATTTCATATTTGCTTACGGATAAAACAGGCACTCTTACCCAAAATGAAATGGTTTTCAAGAAAATTCATTTAGGCAACATTTGGTATGGACATGAATCCTTCGATGATGTTGCCGCAATTATACAATCGCTAAATATATCGGAAAAATCACAATTGGAATCGGTATATGCGACGCCACGAACGCGACGATCGGATGGATGGCGAATCTGGGAAGCGGTCAAAGCAATTGCTGTGTGTCACAATGTTACACCAATAAATGAAACAAATAAAAATGGAAATGGCAACGGGGACCGTAACTCGCCAACACGTTCGATAAGCATTGAATCATCACGCGGCGATGATGTAAACTATCAAGCAGCCAGTCCCGATGAAATTGCGCTGGTCAAATGGAGTGAGCATGTTGGTTTAACATTGGTTGCACGTGATTTAGATTCAATGACACTTCAAATACATAATGTTAGCATGAACCGGCGGGCAAGCACAACATGGGCAAAACCAAAAGCCGATGTTGGCTCAATAAATACAGCCGTTACAATGCTTACAAATGCCGATTCAAAAGATGCATTAAATTCCTCATCAAGCAGCAACGGTGATAGTACCCTAACATTGGATTCAATTGCAAATGCAAATCAATTGCGATATCAAATCTTACAAATGTTTCCATTCACCAGTGAAAGTAAGCGAATGGGAATCATTGTGAAGGACTTAAACAGCGGAGAAATTACATTTTATTTAAAAGGTAATATTTAATGGTTCAATGTGATTGGTTGTATATTAAATGTTATGTTTTATTTGAAAGGTGCCGACATTGTTATGTCATCGATTGTTGATTCGAATGATTGGTGCCATCGTGAATGTACAAACATGGCAAAAGAAGGTCTGCGTACATTGGTTGTGGCGAAAAAAGTTCTCACCGAAGATGAATATGAAGCATTTGAACAGGATTATACGACGGCAAGATTGTGTGTTACGGATCGTGGAGCTCGAATTTCAGCGGCAGTTGAAAGTCTAGAATGTAATATGGAACTGTTATGCTTAACCGGAGTCGAAGATTGTTTACAAGATCGTGTACCACAAACACTTGAATTACTACGAAAAGCTGGCGTGAAAATATGGATGTTGACTGGTGATAAATTAGAAACGGCTACTTGCATTGCCAAGAGTTCACATTTAGTTGAAAGTAACCAAGAGATACATGTGATAAAAAGTGTCAATACAAGGTAATTCAAAATATATTTTTTTCATTCGTTTTTTTTTTAATCGAAGGCATGCGTTTAGTAATAGTGTCTGTCACTCTGTATTATTCCACAAACAACTTCATTGTTCTATAGTAGAATAGAATGCACTTTTGGCCACCATTTTGAAATATCAAAATTCAAGAAAGCAGCTAAAAATTGCATACTTTCATGAGTATGCTTTTAAACTTTTTTTAAGCCTACATTTGAAATATCAAATTTCAAAATTTCGGCCAAAAGTGCATTCTATTCTACTATGCATTTTATGGAATCATTGATTATCATATTTAAAAAGGATGAGTCCATTACTAATTATGCATATTTCTCTTTCATAGAACCGATGCACACATTGAATTAAATCAATTCCGACGAAAGCGAAATTGTGCGCTGGTTGTGTCTGGTGAAAGTTTGGATGTGTGTTTGCATTACTATCAAAGTGAATTCATGGAATTAGCCACACAGTGTCCGGCTGTTGTTTGCTGTCGATGCAATCCAACACAGAAAGCTCAAGTTGTTTCACTGATCCAAGAACATACCGAAAAACGTACGTGCGCCATCGGTGATGGTGGTAACGATGTTAGTATGATTCAACAAGCCGATGCAGGTAAATGTAATTTTACGACATAGAGGCATTCGATGTTAATTCACCGTACAAATTTCAGGCATTGGGATCGAAGGACGAGAAGGAAGACAAGCATCATTGGCAGGCGATTTTAGTATAACTCAATTTTCGCATATTGCCAAATTATTGCTTGTGCATGGAAGACGTTCCTACAAACGATCGGCTGCATTGTCACAATTTGTAATTCACCGTGGTCTAATCATTTCCACCATGCAAGCTGTGTTTTCTGCTGTTTTCTATGTCTCATCGGTGGCATTGTATCAAGGTTTTCTCATGGTTGGCTATGCAACTATCTACACAATGTTCCCAGTGTTTTCGCTTGTACTTGATCAAGACATAAGCTCACAAATGGCATTAACATATCCTGAACTATACAAGGAGCTGTCAAAGGGACGTAGTTTGAGCTATAAAACATTCTTCATATGGGTTTTGATTAGCATTTATCAAGGTAACATAGAAATTTTGATTTAAAATGTTCCACATTTGCATTTTCGATATATTTGAAGTTGAATTCATATTTTTTTCACCTTCACAGGCGGCGTAATTATGTACGGAGCACTGGTTTTATTCGAAGATGAATTCATTCACATTGTTTCGATTAGCTTTTCGGCTTTGATTCTTACTGAACTTATTATGGTTGCATTGACAATTCGAACATGGCACAGGTAAGCATATTTCACATTGAATCGCGTATAGCCACTAACAATTTTCGAATCATGTCAATGAATAGTAAATAAGTCGGTAAATTGAAACAAATCAAACTGAATAATAAATGAATTTCTAGGTTGATGGTCATGGCCGAAATATTTAGTTTGCTGCTTTATGTACTGTCTTTGGTCATTTTGCACGATTATTTTGGTATGTAATAATGATGTAATTTGGAATTGTTGAAATTGTGAATAATTCATTTTTGTAAATTAAATGTTTGTTCGTTTATTCTTGTGGTTATTTAGATTGGGACTTTATTTGGTCATTCGAATTCTTGTGGAAAGTGCTGGCGATTACGTTGGTCTCATGTTTGCCGCTATACATAATAAAATTCTTGCGGAAAAAATTCTCACCGCCCGCATATTCAAAATTGTCATAAACAAATTATGACAGGGACTAACAATTGCGCCAAATTAGCTAAACAATCAGTACAAGAAATTAGTTAGATAAAAGGATATAAGACTTAATGATAAGTCTCATCGATACAAACTCACCAAAAATGAGTGTACATCTTAGACCGACGGATTTCTCTCGATTCAAGACACAAAAACATTCATAATGAATTTCACATAAATTTGTCTTTCCTTTCAATATTGATTCAATCACACTGTAATTAGACCAACACACACCATATATATAATTATTTATTCTAGAGAAAAGAAAAGAGTCATGGCCATTTTTTATTGAATCAATGAGCGTTATATTTTCAATTCAATTTGTAAGGTCACCTAGGTGTAAGAGAGAAAAAAAAACAGAGGATCTTCCTTGAAAAATTGAATAAAAAATTAACGAAAAGAGACGCATAAAAAATCTTCTGAAGAAAAATATATTCTTCTTACAAAAATGTAATGTTTTTTTCCGCGCTGAAATAGGACAGTGGCTGCGCTGATATGTAATTTTTTCGTATATGTTCTGTTAAAACAAAAATATAGAGTTTATAATATATGTATATATGCGTGAAAAAGATAAAAAAAAGATACATTTTCCACTGTTCACACCAGTAATCTGATTCTAGTATTTATTTGAAGCAAAAAAAAAACATTATAATACACCTAATTTGTAAGAAGATTTTCAAACGACACAAAATATAATTCGTGATATTCCCGATTGATATAATTTGATCCCAATTGAAATTTAGACCTACAAACACAAACACAATTTATGATCGCTCATGACGTGATTCTCTGATTTTTTTTTTAAAACAAATGGTTTATTTCAACTTTAATGTTTATGTTGTATAAGTTTGAATGTAATAATTGTCTTAATTCCATGAAAAAATGCATCGAAAAATGTTTCTGCATGTGTATCGATTTTATTAAATCTGCTTATTAAATGTGTTCGTGTCTCAGTCATTTTCTTTTTAAGAAAACTACTGCATTTTTACTGTGGACACAAAGAAAGTAACATTTTAACCTGAAGTATGTGTGCATTTTAATGTTTAAAAAAAATCAACCACATTTTTGGATGAATTTTTAAGCCTACAACAATGCTTTTTGTATAAATGAATATTAAAGAAATATATGCATAAAATCCAATTTCTTACCTTAACAGGATGAAATCTTGTAAATATTTATCAATATTTTCAACTGATTTAAAAGAAATAAAATATTTAAAGAAAAAAAAATGGTATTCTTATTACTTTATTATGACGAAACCTAAACATTTGGTTTGGAATACACGGTTCTTACTTCATAATAAATTTATGAAAAAAATTACGAATAAAATGTAAAAAATGACGAATAAATGATGAATGTGTCGAAACAAAAATTAGTAATTTAGTAAATTGGGCAGTAAATATTCTTACTATAACAAATAAAATTGAGAGAAAATTACAATTTTTATGAAAAAATTTAAATAAAAATGTGGCAGTTAAGTGTATTTATTTTCACGGTCCCATCGCCAAATAGTACCATCGTCGCAGACGCAAATCAAAATATTACCATCACGTGAAAATGTGGTTTGTCGAATGGCCGTTGTACACTTTGGATGCGTTAACGTTGCAGCTCGTATTAGTGTCGGATCCGGAGTATTGATGTCCCATAAGAATACTTTTCCACATTGATTTCCCAAGGCCATAAACTTGCAATGATAATCCAGTGCAAAACGAATGAACCAAATTTCACATTCTTTGTATTCGAAACGATGTAAAATCGATGCAGTCGAATCACCATGCTTGAATTCATTGGAATTTTCATTCAAGCGGCCGGGTTTCCAGCACACTATCGAATTTTCGCATGACTATAACAGGAGAGAAAACATTTCTTTTAAAATTTCAACTGATTTTCATTGCATTGACTTCAATTTTACCTTTGACATAACATAGTCGCCAATCCAACGCACACAATCAACTAAAACGTAAAATTAAATAGAAATTAGTCAAATTAAGTGAGTCATTGTGTTTTTTGTGCTGATTTTTCCTTACCATAATTTCGATGAATTTCTCGGGTAGAATACTCAGGAAAATGTTCGTTAACCGTTTTGAAAGGACGTTCACTTTTGTTAACATTGAATGTGTTACTGTTTTCAATGCCTTCTTTAATCTCTGGCTTATCCAAAGACCACAATTTCAACGAGTGGTCCATACCTAAGACGAGTATAACAGAAGTAAATAGTGCCGACTAAAAATAGCTTTATTTATTACATACCCGATGACATGATTCGATTGCCATGCATGTCAAAATCGGCACTCAACACTTCATCGCGATGACCTTCGACTCCGCCAAAAATGGCAACGCAAACATCCGTTTTAATGTTCCACAAACGAAGCGAATGATCTTTGCTCGCCGACAATAGTAGATGCGGTCGTTTTGGATGAAACTTAAGTTCATTGATGGCATGACCATGCCCGATATAATATTTATTACATGTCATTTTAATGACATTGAACACACGAATAACACCACGATAACCAGCCGCGGCCAACACCGGATATGTAATACCACCTTCTGTCAATTGTGACCAACAACATGTATAGAAATTCTCCGTAGACTATTCATAATAATAATAATAATAATAATACAAATAAACCAATAATCAATTTAAAACAATCGTAAATATAAAACTTACATCTGGATCTGAATAACATTGAATCAAACGTAAACCGCCATCTTTTAAGCAAGTGTAAATTGATACTCGATTACTTCCAACCGATGCGAATGTGGGCAGTTGACCGGGTCTCAAAAAATGATTAAACTGTGTTCCAAATAATGGCGAACAATGATCTTCTTTCACATAATTTCTAAAATACATTTATTCAAACAATATTTTGAATTACGAAATACGAAAAGAAAATGAAGGTAACAATGAAAACTTACTTGAATTTAAATGTGCTCTTAACCACTTTTGGTGTTTTTGACTTTCTTCGGCCGCGCTTGTTACCTAAGGGGAGAATCACAAAATAAAAGAATAAAATTTTAAATAATCGATAAGTAATCGGAAAATAATTGTAAAACAATCTTTTGTCCCTTCTTGTTACCGTTTGTGATTTTATTGTTGGTTGGTGTACCACTACGACTGCGTGAAGTTGTGTCCGTATTACTTGTGCTCGTTAGACTAATAACATCGTCCTAGATACGATGAAGTACACAATCGAATGAAATAGACATAAATCCGATGGAAAACATATGCAAAATTTTCAATTATTTCGAATACTTACATTTTCATCGCCCGATTCAAAAGTGATATCAGTATTGATGGAATTTTCATCGTGTGGCTCTGTCATGTCTGGATGGTGTTTTTTTTTATACACAATTCTTTGCTCAAAACAAATTCACGATTTTGATACACAATATATACAGAAAGCAATGAAAGTACTCAAAAATGTGAAAAACCAAAAAATAAAAACCAATTACAAAAATATACAAAACATTTTCGTTTGTACCGCACAACACAAAGAAAAACTAAACACAAACAATGTGTGTAATGCTTTTTAGCGCGACCGGTACTAATTACTAATTTGTGTCATTTTGACAGATGGCATTCATTCAGCGCACACAACAAGCATTAAGTTGGCTACATAAGGAATATATACAGAGGCACCATATTCAATTTTTTTTACCTTGGATTTCAAGAAATATATTGAATGTGGTCAGTTTTTGGGGTATCTTACATTTTTTCAAAGATTGAACCCATAATGATTTTTGATTTAAAAAATAAATAAAAGATCAAAAAAACTATCTTTCTTTTATTAATGTGAATTTATTTCGTCTGTTTGTCCAGAAACAGTGTTTGAACATTCGTTTTATTTATATGATAGAAAAATGTATTATTTAATCATTATTCATTAATCAATCGTTGTTAACTACTAATTTTGTACTCAATGATAAAGAGAAAAGAGTTGTTATTCATTCGAAAAGAATTGAAGTACTTTCTTCAGTGTGCCAAAATTGATGTCAATGCCCAATTCGTGCGATTCACGACACTGTAGAAATTGTTCGTAGTCAGTTTTATGTGCTTGTGCTGCCATTTGTTTGGCGCAAATTTTCAAATACTCCATTTTATCGTGTTTTTCATTTATTTTGAAGCAGAGCATCTCGTCCTTTACTTCAATTGCAAAGACACGTTCGCTATCTTTCATGTCATAGAGACGTGAAATTGAGTTGATCGGAATAAGTCGAATGTGTTTGTATTGTTTACCCCGTGCCTCTCGGATTTTACATATTTCAATGTAATCGGTAAATAAAAATAGCATCAATCGGTCATCACGTGTGCCAAAGCATTTTGAGAGTTCGGTGACCTCACATTCAGATACAAATCGTCGATTTGAGGACAGCAAATCTGCTGGACAGACTGTAAAAAATATGAAATACATCGATTAATCGTCTGAACAAAACGGTTTCAACAAATTTGACGAATTAACTTACATTCAATGTCATTGATGATATTCAATAGGGCGGTATATCCTTCAGTTTTTCGCTTGTCTTCATTTATGTAATTATTGACATCTTTTATTGCATTCAATGCGTTCTCCAATTCTTTGTGGTCGGGATTTGATTTTGGTGTATGCTTCAGAATATCCTTAATCAATAGACTTAGAAACGGTAGCCGTTGAACCGGTTGTATCATAAGCTCTTGAAGAGTTTGTCGGCCGCATTGTGGTTTTGATTGATTTATCTTCAAAAATGCATGAAACTTTGGATTTTGTGCGATACATTGCAATAGAGCATTTTTCATCTGCTCGAAATAATTGACATAAGGTGGATATGCTTTGAGTAATGCATCACGATGGTCAAGTATCACTATGCCGATAAAAGAAAAAAACATTAATTTGAATTATTTTTTTTTTAAATTTGATTTCAAATTACCTTTGCCGATTAGACAGTCTTCCTTCCAGTTGGAGTGCATCTCCCGAAAAAGGTCCAACATACGTGAGTGTACGTCAAAAATGGGCAAGAAATTACTGAAAATTGCTCGCAACTCTGATTTATTAATTAATTCCTCATCTTTCTTGCCAATCATCTCTTCCAATGGCTTCTGGAATTCAGACATGATCAAATTCAAAATGCGAACGTAATTTGTTTCAGTCGAAAATAAATCCATAAAGTGATTGAACCGCATTGATTTTGCCTTTTTCGATTTTGGCGTATTTTCTATACTACAATCGGAATCTGAAGAGAAAAAAATTGAAATGAAAAAATTCGAAGAAAAAAATATAATGGAAATGGATTTTAACGAACCTTTTGCATCTGGTTTTGGACTATTTGTAAAATCCAAAAAGCTGCCCGACATCGACAGTCCTGCATCAGATGTTCTTCGTTTGTTACCAGTTGCTAGAACTGAGACTGAAATCCGTTTTCGTTTGCGTTGCATGGTTCTTGATAATGTATCACATTTATCGGTGGCAGTCGGTGTGTTGGCACGATTTGCCAAATAGTCACTGAACAAATGCTGGTTTTCATCAGCAATTCCCTTTTGAATTGTATACCAAAACCAATCCGACGTCAGAGAAATTGGTTGTGGCCGTTGTTCTGGCACGCCCGAATCAACCACATCAATATTTTTCACTGGCACACTTTCTTGTCTTGTCTGCCCCTTTACTTCCGTTGCAACCGATTGGAATTCCATAACATCAGGTTCGGGCACAGCTGCAATTGTGTTTGAATTCATGGTGCTGTTTATCAAATTACGACACGACAACATGCTTATTTCATTTGGCATCACAAATTTATCATCATCATTTTCGGCTCGTTCCACGCATGACGTATTTAACATTTTTCTCGGCGTTTTTGGTGTCAAGCAAAATTCACGTTTCGTGCGATTACTATTTGTGATGCGATCTTTGAGTCGATTCAGTTTCTCTTTAACTGGTCGCTTTAATGTTTCAATAAATGTACTTTCCATCGATGTAACCGAACTGATTGATGCATTTGGATCGATTGAGTCGCGTCTGGCGCGAAACATATTCTTGATGGGATTTTTCATACCAGCAAAACTCATGCTACGGCTGAGTGAACGTGTGATAGATCCACTACGAATAAGTTTTGGTTTTTTTGCCGAATTAAATTGTGCGGCAAATGTATCTGTTGAAATGATTGAAATATTATCGAAACTGTCACGTTTTCGTTTTGACATTTCTTTGTTGAGTTTGTCCGAATTTTCATCCTCCTCTTGGATGTGATGCAGAATGGGTGATAAATCTCGTTTTATTGGCGACAAATTAACTGGCTCTAGAAATAAGTTTTCTTCATTGCCCGGCAAAATGATGCCGTTGCGTCGCTCATTGTGTTTGTATGTTTCTGGTGTTTCAGGAATGGGAGGACAATTTGGCACAGCATTTGATCCGCTTGCTACTGAAATTATTTTCGGTGGTGATTTTGGGACCAGATTTCCCTTTTCGGGAATCTGAGTAACACTGTTTGCCAAAACTAAATGCGAACATTCTGGATCATCAAAATCGGTTGGAATGCCACCGTTTGCTTTCAAAACGTCAACCATTTCTTGATGTTCGTCGGGTGAAAAACCGTAAAAGCAAATGTGAAGCCCTTCAAATGGCTTCAATTTGTGATTTTCAATGAATTTGGGATCGTTTGCTGAGAAATCAACCTCGTCACGGTGTTCCCATGCCGCCTCAATCCATCCAGACTGCACAACTGTAACACCGAAAATTTTGGCATAGTGATATTTCTTGCCGGAGCTCGTTGGTGAAATTAAATGTGTGCAACTGTCATTCATATCTTTCCGAATCGAACCGCCCATCGCATGTATTTTTTCAAATAAACGTCGTAATTCGTCTTTTGCTTTTGCTTTGTCTTTAAATGCATGAAATCCAGAGAAACACGTGACAACACCTTTCATAGCTAAATTGTAGCGTGGTTTTTTGACATAAGCAAGACCACTGCCGGACTTAGCTAGTTGTTGTAATGCAATCGGTCCGTAAATTGGTTGCTCACTTTCACGAATCGCTTTAAAATTCTCCCCGCTAAATTCGGACAGCACAAAAAACGTCAGCCATTCTGGATCGTCGATAAATTCAAGTCCAGTTTTTGATAACAATACTGGAACGTTGAACGATTGAGCGGCCGATGTGACATTAACATCATTTGCAACGGAACCAATCAAACAAATTCGCTGTTTTGGCATCGGTTTGGTCGCGGTTTCAACGGTGCACAATTCTTTTTCCATTTTTTTCGGCGATACAACTGTGATTTGAACTTTTTTGTTAACTAAATCGCCGTGATTTTCCTTTCCTTCGAAAAGATTTTCGATTAATTTCACATTAACCGATGGTGCAATTAATCCTAACAATTCATTATTACATGCAACAGCACCTGTACTATTTTTTGTATAATCACTGCTCATCTCATTCGCTGATTATTTTTTTTTTCTTCCTTCTGTATTTTAACCGTTTATATGAGTATTTTATCAATGAAACAAATCAATACTTTTACGAAAATCACTTTTTCCAAAATAACATAACATTCGATTGTATTTATCATCGAGCTAAGTGTATATGTCATTTGTAAAATGGTCGTTGCACACACACTGTATTATTTTTCAATGAATGAGAAAACATTCAAAGAAATTATCATAATTTTTATTATTTCTTTAGATTATGCGATATTGAAATATTTAGAGAAAAACACTGGACCACACAAAATTCCATATAGAAAAAAAAAAACGGAATAAATAAAAAGAGTTGGAGTAAATTTACTTTTCGACAGATTATGTTATTATTTGAATGTTGTTAACGTATTTCGTTTAAGCGTCGCACGCAGTTGTGTGTGTGTCTCTCTTTTGCGCGCACACATTTGTTACAACCATCACACAGCTCACAGTTGCGGTGCGGATGAATATGCATGTTTGTTTTATTTTTTGAATTGTGATGCACATTGTGCATGTGTGAAAGAGACAAACGCATGTGTTTCATTCTGAAAACATTCAGCAACATCTCTCATTCACCCATGTAATACAATAAGTCGGTATGTTTCATCATTTGTCATATTTGAATTCATTTTCAGTTTGAACAGCTCCATGTTCAGCGAAATAAAATTACTTTTTCAACAAAATAATAATAAATTCGATTTAAAAATCTTAAACTTGTAAACAAGTTTTATATAAAAGATTTTTATAAAATGATTGCATCGCTTTCATAATGAATTTAAAAAAAAACATTTTTAATCCATGTAAAGAACAAACAGTGAACGCGACCCAAATTATATTTTTCTGTAATATAATTTACGTACTTATAGTCTTTTGAAAATATTCTCAATATCAAAAAAATCTCACATGAGAGATTTCTACGCAAAAATACACAAATTGACATTAAAACACCAACCATTTTTGGATTTTTTGATCATCTCTGAGATTTTCTTTTCCAATGCCATAAAATACCCTGTTTCTGGATGAGTTTGCGATCAAGAAGTTTCGTTGGTAATACAAACATCACATAAATCAATTGAAAGTTTGCAAAATTATTGGTGACAATATTTGAAGAAATAAAAAAAAAAAACAATTTTTGGTATAGAAGGAATTCACCTCATTGTCTCTTCCAACAAAAATCATACACATTATTTGCCATGTAATGAATATAATTTAATCAGTTCACTTGAAATAAATGGGACCTTATATGCAAACAATAAAAAAGTAATCTATTAAATAATTTTCAAAAAATAGAATTTTTGTTTTCGTCAAAAACCATATTCAGATTAATTGTCCAGTAATGCTGCCAAACCAATTATATGAAATTGGCCACAGTGTTGACAATAGCACAATTAAAATTATGAGTGGTTCTTGGCACCGTGGTATTGTTGTGAATGGCTTAGTACCATTCGACAAAGTGGCAGTCATATTCGATACTTTATCTGGTACGGCATGTATGATCACAATGAGATTTGAAGGCATCGTTTCAATTAGTTGTAAGGGTCTGACTCCAGTTGCTGTCGAATTCACACCACCATTTGTGCTAATTGATCCATTTGGTATAGATGATTGTTGCTTTGAGTGAATTTCGATACAAGTTATTTGGAACCAAACCATGGACCAAATTACGAATGAAATAAAAAAATGATGGAAAAACCTTGATTTTTTATTTTTCATCTTTATTTCACAGTTTCTAAACTTTTAAAACGATATTCGTATTTGTGATGATTTCAACTGAAACTAAATTTCTTAGTTTTTTACGTGCTGCTTTTATAGTTTGAAAACTATCGCACCGAATTTATTGGCAGCAATTCTTACTTTATGAATTTATTGGTGATCGATTTTTATTTCTGTAAAAAAAAATTCGTTTGCAATCAAATGGTTTCATTGGTCACATCATAAAATGTTATTGTGCTGTTACAGTTGATTGAGTACAATTTTCAATTAATCACACTGAGTCATCCGATGATGTTATCAATTTGACACGTCATAGCTGATTCATGCTCGCAACTATTTTTTTAAAGAGCATTGAAAATGATTTTTCAAGAGCAAAAAAAAAAATATATTTCTATTTGAATAAAATTGCAAATGCTTTCATGGTGCAAATAAAATATAATTTAATCAGTTCACTTGAAAGAGATTGGAGCCTATGTAAACAATAAACATGTACAATTTAAATATCTTAATGCTAAAATGGTTTCTCATGGTTTTTCACATTCGATTTTATGCGGACACAACAATCACGTTTATTTAGGACACAAAAGAGATGGAAGACATTGCGAAAGTGTAGGCGCAAACGCTTGACCAGGATCACACTTTGAAAAAAAAAATATAAATTATTATACATATATTGTAGCGAGCGGTGATCAAACTATATCAAATTCATAAAAATTTACCTTCAGATGTGCGCAATAAAGCGTGTTTCCGGTACGGATGCAAGAAACATATGAACAAGGATCATTCGCTACTGCTAATAAACCAGTTTTTATGCCCATGATATTCACAAGTGGGCATGAGCTGGGACCAGTTGTTTGTGCGGTTATTTGTCGGGCTGTAGTTCCAGAAGTTGAAACCGTGACATTTATATTTGGCCGTTGAGTAGTTTGGATGGGTCGTGCCGTAGTTCTCGATGTTGAAACGTTGACATTTATATTTGGCCGTTGGGTGGTTTGAATGGGTCGTGCTGTAGTTCTCGAAGTTGAAACGTTGACATTAATATTTGGCCGTTGAGTGGTTTGAATGGGCCGAATTGTTGCTGTCCCCGATGGCTTGACATTTATAATCGAAATAATATTCGATGGTGTTGGCGCTGGTGTTTGAAGTTCAACAACAATATTGCCACTGGCTGTAGTTTGTGGCTTAGTCGTATTCACTTTTGCATTTACATTACCGGATGTATTAACGGCATCAATTGGCCTCTGTATCGTTTGCTGCTGGCTTCCTTGTTGTCTTGATTGAATTCCAATGGAACTTAAGTCATCACAAATCACAAAAGAACTGTATGACAAGCATATTACAAAAATCACCAAGAATTTTGATTTCTTATCTTCAAACATGATTTTTAGTCACTCGTTATTCACTAGGCTCTTTTCAATTGATGTTAATGGGTTTCGATTTCAAGTCAAACTAAATGCCATGGCTCAAATACCTCATTTTTATAGGTCAAATATCATAGTAAATTTCATAGACGATATTTTTTCCTCTATTTATTGATAGGTTTATGCTTCAAACGACTGTTATTAGATTAATAAAGTGATCGATATCTTTTCGAATTTTATTGGGGGAATTAATTTTATCATTTGATTTCTGCGCAATCAACATAGCTTTGTCGAATAATGAATTGCACCAACCCCGCTACGTCACTTGAGTTTTTTTATAAACTTTCTACAATACTAAAACTTATCGGAGAGATTTCTATTCGAAGTCAGTAAGCGTTTTCCAGTATTCCATATTCTGTGAGCAAAAAAAATAGAACACATTTTTTTCGAATGAAATTGACATAGTTAAAAAAAACAAATAGTATAGAAAATATCGTCATAGAATTTATTTATTGGAACGGAATACATTTAATCTATCGACCAAACGAAATATATAGTAAATATTTCTGGGAAACAAATTTAAAACATATTTTTTACAACCACATTTAATAGAACTACTAAACAGAATCAAGCTTATGGGATCGTTTGGTTTGAGAAAGCAATAATAATCTGTATAATATCGAAGGATTGAAGAATTTTCATGAAATGAGTTATTGAAGTTGCTGAAATCGATGACGCTTTAGAAGTGAAAAAAAAACGCTGTGAAAAATTACAATTTCATGCAATTATTTATTGTGGTTTGAGTTGGAAGTACAATTTTTTCAATAAAAAATATAATTTATAAATCGATTTCTTTAATTCTTTTTTAACTTCTTAGAGACTGTACCTCAGATATATTTGGGCTTTTCCCTAAGATTATCGAGCTCTTATA